TTTTTTTTTTTTTTTTTTTTTGAGACGGAGTCTCGCTCTGTCGCCCAGGCTGGAGTGCAGTGGCCAGATCTCCGCTCACTGCAAGCTCCGCCTCCCGGGTTCGCGCAATTCTCCTGCCTCAGCCTCCCGAGCAGCTGGGACTACAGGCGCCCGCCACCTCGCCTGGCTAGTTTTTTTGTATTTTTAGTAGAGACGGGGTTTCACCGTGTTAGCCAGGATGGTCTCGATCTCCTGACCTCGTGATCCACCCGTCTCGGCCTCCCAAAGTGCTGGGATTACAGGCTTGAGCCACCGCGCCCGGCCGAAGAACTTCTATGTAGCAACTTTATTAAACCCCTTTACCAATTCTATTAGTTTTTCTTCATATTTTATTTCTTTGGGTTGGGTTGTGTGGATTTTTTTTTTTTTTAGGAGATGGGGTCTCACTGTGTTGCCCAGGCTGGTCTCAAAACTCCTGGGTTCAAGTGATCCTCCCACCTCGGCCTTCCAAAGTGTTACGATTATAGGCATGAGTCACTGTGCCTGGTCCAGTCTGGCAATTTCTACTGTGAGTAATCCCTTTGCCTTTTCTTTCCTAATATTATACATTACATTTCCATTTCCTGTCTTATTACATCAGTCAGGACTTCCAGAAGATTATCAAAGAACAGCAGTGATCACAGATCTAGTGAACATCCTTGGATATTTGTCTGTTGAGACTCTCAGTTCTTTTGGAAAACTTCTCTACTCCATACGTGCAGTCCTCGTGGGACGAGACCAGTCACAGGGCACCTAATTCTACCCTGTAGGTACAAAGCTGGGTGCATGGTCCAGGGCAAGCCAAACATCAGACCCTATTTTCCCACCCAGGGCGATTGTTCCAGAGGTGGGCAAGAAACCTAAGCAGGGCCAACCAGATTTTCTCCCAGTTTTTTGTTTGTTAGTTTGGAGCCAGAAGAGAGGAGGGGAGGGCCTTACTTTCTGGTTTAACAGATGGGAAAGATAGAAACGAGGGCATCAGAGGCCACCCACCGCTGTAACCTGCACAGGAAGAGAAAGGTTGCTTGCAGAGGAGGAAGAGAAACCACGGAAAGAAATCCCAACGGGCAAGGAGAAGGGAGGAGAGGGACCGAGATGGGGAGAGGGACGATCTTGTTTGTGTGTGTGTGTTTTTTTAAGATGAATTCTCCCTCTGCCACCAGGCTGGAGTGCAGTGGCGAGATCTCGGCTCACTGCAACCTCCGCCTCCCGGGTTCAAGCAGTTCTCCCGCCTCAGCCTCCCTAGTAGCTGGGATTACAGGCGCGCGCCAGGACGCACAGCTAATTTTCGGTAGAGACGGTGTTTCACCATGTTGGCCTGGTGTTTCACCACGCCGAATGATCTTGTTTTTAAATCCCTGAATCCGGCCGGGCGCGGTGGTTCACGCCTGTAATCCCAGCACTTTGGGAGGCCGAGACGGGAAGATCACGAAGTCAGGAGATCGAGACCATCTTGGCCAACACGGTGAAACCCCTTCTCTACTAAAAATACAAAATAAATTAGCCGGGCGTAGTGGTGGGCGCCTGTAGTCCCAGCTACTCGGGAGGCAGGAGAATGGCGTGAACCCGGGAGGCGGAGCTTGCAGTGAGCCGAGATGGTGCCACTGCACTCCAGCCTGGGGGACAGAGTGAGACTCTGTATCAAAAAAAAAAAAAAAAAAAAAAGAAAAAAGAAAAAAAAAAATTCCTGAATCCACACTTGCTGATTATGTGAGCCAAAAAATTTGTTTTCCGTTTTCTTTACTTACATTGGATCACTTACAATGGAAGGAATTTTGACTATTACAGAAATCATTCTTGTCCTGGTAACTGACACTTATTAGGTAATGGCTGGTGCCAGGCTGAGGGCAGGTGGCACTGGCTCAGGTCCTCCGCCCAGGCAACCCCAGTCTTCATAGCTGGCGACGAGATGTTCTTTCACGTTTGCAGATGAGGAAGCTGAGGCTCTGGGAGGAAAGCGCGCTGCCCACGCCCTTCTGGGCAACAGCCTCTTGTACTCCCACAGCAGGCTGACGGATAAACTTCCAACACGACCAGCGGGCACCAACTGTGCAACTTGGCAAATGGGAGCATGTTGCTCTATCCTGGTAGATTCTAAGTTCTCTAATGGAACAACTGATGAAAGGAGAGGAGTATGCAACCAGCATCAAAACCAGCATCCAAACCAGCATCAAAGCGTGTAACCAACTCAATCTGTTCAATCTGCACAGTAAATGCGCCCCACCCATACACCCCGCGGGGTGCTAACCTAGTCACCGCTCGAGGCCTCTGAGTCCTTCCACGCCAGGTCATTCAGAACCTGAAACTCCCAGCGGAGGTGCAGAGGCGGGGTGAGTCCTGGCGTCCGCGAGACTTGGAGGACCCAGTCCCCGGAGCGCATTCCGTTAGTTTGCAGAGCTTTTTCAAACTTTGCCTTCCAAGTGCAGGAGTTCCTTGGTCTTTGCAAGACCCGCAGGCGTCCGCAGTGGTGCAGAAAAAGGTGCAAAGGGTGCGCCCAAGGTCGCAGGCTGCCTGGCTGCGAGCTCAGTCGGGCCCCCGGGCGCCAGGCGCGGGGCGGGCTCTGGGCGGGCGGCCGGGGCGGGGACTGCAGAGCCGGCTGCGTTGCGCGGTCCCCACTGCCTGCCTCTGCGCTACCCGGCCGCAGCGCGCCAGTCACATGGAGGATCCTGAGGAGCCCGCGCCCGTGCGCGGAGGCCCGGAGGCCACCCTTGAGCTCCGTGGGTCGCGCTGCCTGCGGCTGTCCGCCTTCCGAGAGGAGCTGCGGGCGCTCTTGGTCCTGGCGGGCCCGGCGGTGAGTAAGGTGGCCTCCGTGGGAGGCCGGTCCCGGCGAGCTGGGGGCCTGGTGAGTCCTGCCTCCGCGGGTGAGTTGGCGGAGTTTGGGGATAGAGCAAGCTGGCCGCGGGCGGGCGCCGGGGAGCATAGTGCCAGGAGCCGGGCAGGCACCCCAGCTCCTCCGCCTGCGTCCCGGCCGCCCTCCGCTCCGCACCACCCGACTGGGAGCCCCGCGGGGCACTGCGGGCACGGCTGGCATGCGCCTAGGCGCACGTTGGCCCGGAGAGGCCGGCGGCTCCTGCCTCCTGCGCCAGGAGACACCGGGGAGCTGGGACCTTTGCGCCTAACGGGGCTCAAGTAGGTCCAGGCTGCATTTGCATCCGGGGCTGCCTTCTCTGGGAGCTGATTTCAACCAACAAAGCATAAGTTGCCTGAACTTCAAAACACGAGGGAACTTGTTTCTTTGAAAATTAGCTGTAAAAAGTTTGGAAGCTCAGCGATCTAAATAATCCCGAGGCATGGAGGAGGAGGTGCGTGGTCTGTCGTGGACTTAGAGCTGCGAAATGATTTCTTCAGAATTAAGTCAGCCTCCACCGAGGAAACCAGAGGCATCCTGTACCACCCCCTCCCTGCCAGTAGTATGTATGTAACAGAAAAAAAGCGTTTTAATGTGGTTCTTTGTGGGATCGAGGTGTTCTTATCTGTGGGATTCTTTTCTTTTTAATCATTAGGTTAGGGCTGTTTCTGCCTTGTCTCCTAAAAGTAATGTGGTTTTTAAAACCACAAAAATATAATCCTATCCACGTTCTCCTGCCAGCTTGGGTGGTTTTCAAACCGAGAGGGTAGGACGCTGCACAAGAAGCGACTGGTATGCACTTAAGGCGTGAATAAGCTTTTGACTTTGAGGCCCACATTCTGCACCTGCGCGGGCTGAGGGGGGCCGCTGTGCCCCTGGAGTGGAGACTCGGTGGTTTGTGGGATATTGTGGCACACGCTGTGGTGTGCAGGACAGCAAGAGTAATGCCGAGGTCAAAGCCATGGAATGAATATCCATCAGCGATGCTTTCTTACAGACCAGAAAGAACTCATGATTTGGGGCCGGGCACGGTGGCTCACGCCTGTAATCCCAGCACTTTGGGAGGCCGAGGCGGGTGGATCACTTGAGGTCAGGAGTTTGAGACCAGCCTGGGCAAAATGGTGAAACTCCGTCTCTACTAAAAATACAAAAATTAGCCAGACGTGGTGGCGGGCGCCTGTAGTTCCAGCTACTCCAGAGGCTGAGGCACAAGAATCGCTTGAACCTGGGAGGCGGAGGTTACAGTGAGCCAGATCGTGCCACTGCACTCCAGCCTGGACGACAGAGTGAGACTTGGTCTCAAAAAAAACAAAAAACAAAACACCTCATGGCCGGGCCCAGTGGCTCACGCCTGTAATCCCAGCACTTTGGGAGGCAGATGCAGGCGGATCACGAGGTCAGGAGATCGAGACCATCCTGGCTAACCGGGTGAAACCCTGTCTCTACTAAAAATGCAAAAAAAAAAAAAAAAAAAAAATTAGCCAGGCGTGGTGGCAGATGCCTGTAATCCCAGCTACTTGGGAGGCTGAGGCAGGAGAATCGCTTGAACCTGGGAGGTGGAGGTTGCAGTGAGCCGAGATAGCGCCATTACACTCCATCCAGCCTGGGCAAAAAGAGCAAAACTCTGTCTCAAAAAAACCAAAATAAAGAAACACCTCATGATTTGGAATCTCAAGACCTGGGGCTGCATGCCCTGCTTTGACCTCCGAAAGTAAGTCAGGAAGCAGCTGTGCGAATTGAAACAGCCTCTTAACCTCTTCTGGTCTCTGCGTATTCATCTGTAAAATGGAGATAATAATCGTGTCTTGTCCTAACACTCCCTCACAGAGCTGCTGTAAGAAGGGGCTTTCTAAGGCTATTATTGTTTTATTAATTTTTTTTTTGAGACAGGGTCTTGATCTGTCGGCCAGGCTGGCGTGCAGTAGTGCGATCACAGCTCACTGCAGCCTCAACTTCCGAAGCAGTGGAGACTACAGGCACACACCACCATGCCTGGCTAATTTCTGTATTTGGGTTAGAGATAGGGTCTCCCTTTGTTGCCCATTGCTTGAATTCCTGGGCTCAAGCAATCCTCCTGGCTTCGGCCTCCCAAGAGCTGGGATTATAAGCATGAGCCACCTTGCCCAGCCTGTTATTGCTTTAATAGTATAGCAATAATAATAATAACAATAATAATAATAACAGGGCAGGTTTCTGAAATCCAGCCCTCCTAGTAGCCTGATCCCCTTGATGTGGGGTGCCTCTCCAGGTCTCCAGGGATGAGCGCTGGATTGACGCACCGGGGACCTCACCCTTCTCTTTGTATGTACATGCATGTATACCACTGTGTTTATTACAAATGTCATGCATATTTACTGTAGAAAAAATAGAAAACCAAGACCAACAGAAGGAAAAAACCCTCTGAAATCTCACCACTGAGAGGTAATTTGGGACTGGAATTTCCTTCCAGTCCTTTGTGCGTGTGTGTCTCTGCTTTGTGAAAATGTGATTGTAGAGTTTTGCTACCTGTTTTAGTCTTTCATGAAGTGTATGTGGACCCGCCTGGGTCTGTCTCCCATCTCTAATCCCATCTGCTGTAAAGTTTTCTGTTTGCTAAAGGGCATGGGATAAGGAAAGACCACTCCCTTCTTTTCCCATGCTCATTGTCCAATTCTACTCCAAGTGTCCAACGTAACATGAGGAAGATGCCCTATCTGGCTCTCCTCTCTGTAATTTTCTCTCTTATTCGCCATCTCCCTTCCAGACCTCTCAAGTTAACCCTGACCCTTGAGGTCTCACTGGGCTTTAAATGAGGCCTTTGTAAAGAGAATAACCCATAACACAATGGAAAGTGTGAGCCGAATGGTGCTTACTTCTCAAAAAATGTGTCCATTTTATCTTGGAGAGAGCTTGAGGAAGACTGGATTTGCAAGGGAAGGAATGTACCTGGCCTCAGGTACTCCAGTTGTGCCTCCTCTTTGTCATCAGCCTCTCATCACCTGGCTGAATCGAGAAACTTCAAACAGCAAAAGTTCTGAAAAGTAACACCAAAGGTGGACCCCCGGGCATTGCCCAGGATGTAACAGAGGTGGCATAGCCTAGGCCCCAACTCAAGGAATTGTTTCCACTTGTATGGGAAGGAGCTGGTGGACCTTCTAGGGCTGCAGGGCGGAAATATCAGATAAGACAGGCAGGTTGAGGGGAGTGAGGTGGGGGATCTGGAGAGACCCACTTTACCCAGGACACACAAAGGAAAAAATGCAGGCTGACCTTTTGAATTGTATCCTGAAGGCAATGGAGAAGATATTGATCAGGAAGTGGTTACTGACACCAGATTCTACAGGAGAAGCCTGGTCAGAGACAGACCGGGCCTAGGCCGGAGGAAGAGAAGACCTACAGGGATGGCGGTTCCTCCCTTTCAAAGGGTGAGAGAAAGTAGTCAAAGATGGCAGGAGCTGGATAGAGGAAAGCCGGGTGAGGTCCGGCCCCCGCCGCCTCTACTCCCCGTTTCCTCCTCCAATCCGTCCTCACCAAGGCCTTTGGCTTTAACTCCTTAAATACCTCTCAGAGGGATCCACTTTTTAAATGCCCATCTGAGCTTATGCCTCCTGCTCAGAACCTTTTCCTTGGTCCTGCAAAGCCCTCTATGGCCAGGGCCTGGCCAGCCCTCCAGCCTCATCTCTCGTCCCTATCTCCTGGTTACACCCTCCACCCAGCCTCCTTTCAGTGCCTCAGCCTGGAAAGTCCTCCCCTACAGACAAGTCTCTGGTACCCAACTATATGACATTGACTTGTTCATCATGCAGGTTTCAGCTCCACTTCATTTCCCCCAGAAACCTCTGAATTCTCTGTTGCACCCCATAGCGCATCACACAAAAGTCTTGAGCTGTGTAATTTATTGCGTTTTGAACATCTTTCCCTACTCTACAGATGCTCCCTGGCTTACGATGGGGTTACGTGCACTGAAAGTATCATTAAGTCGAAATGCCTCTAAAGGATGAGATCATGGATTGCAAGAGTCCTGACTTGCGTGGGACGGCCGTGACTGGCTTGCCACCCCTATGCTGGCCAATTATCTTCAGTTCTTTTCCCCAGAAGCAGGAGACACATATGGCCGTTTTGTACTCATGATGGGATGCAAAAACACAAAACAATACCCAAAAAATGCTGGCAACACAGTCTACTGTAGAGTGTCAGTTGCCTGCACTTGTGATGGCAGGGCTGATGGGCAGCTGTGGCCCACTGCCCTGACAGGCACTGCAAGTCTGAGATTACACATTACTAGCCCAGGAAAAGACCAATATCCCAAATTCCAAGTACAGTTTCTACTGAATGTCCATTGCTTTCGCACCACTGCAAAGTTGAAAAATTGTAAGTCGGAACCATCTGTACTGTGGGTCCCACGGGGCAGAAATGAAGTAATGGTGTCTAACTCACACCTGTTCCCCCAGTGCTTGGATGTACTTTGTGCTCCAAAGACAGTGGCTGTATGTAACCATCTGAGTTGAGAGTCAGGTGGCTGGGCTGATTGCGAAACCTCCTGGGCTGTGTTTCCTCGCATGTAAAGGAAGGGGGGCTGTCCCAGGTGACCTCTCAGCTTGTTTCCAGTGAGCGAACTTTCAGCAGTCATGGGAGCGGGTAGGAGAGGCTGTCTGGAGGTGCCTGACACGTGCTCTCCCTGGAGAGCAACTTCTAAAGCCACCAGGCATTGAAAGTCTTTATCTGGCTGCCAAGTTTGCTTATTGTTGTCCAGCCAAAATCTGAGCAGGGTCGCTGTGACAAGAAGGGACGGAAGCACGGTCAGTCTGGAAGTTTCTTTGTTTGAGACAGGGTCTTGCTCTGTCACCCAGGCTGGAATGCAGTGGTGTGAGTGGCTCACTGCAGCCTCAAACTCCTGAGCTCCAGTGGTCCTTCATGCCTCAGGCTCCTGAGTGGCTGGGATCACAGGTGCGTGCCACCATGCATGCTATTTTTGGTATTTTTTTGTAGAGATGTGGTCTCTACAAAATGTTGCCTGGGCTGGTCTTGAACTCCTGGGCTCAAGCAGTCCTCCCGCCTCAGCCTCCCCAAGTGCTGCGATTGCAAGCATGAGCCACCGTGCCCGGCCCAGTCTGGCAATTTCTGTCATCCATTCAGCTCTGTCCAAGCCACTGCCAGTTCAGGCTGTTCTTCAGACAGCAGCTGCTGAGACATCTAGCGGAACAGGCCTTTGTCCAGAATTGGTTCATTCCCTGGGCACAGAAATACGCTCTGTGATAGCACAGTCCCAGAGGGTCTGGAGCACTCAAAGTGTGACCCTGGACCACATGCATCTTGCCTGGGTGTGTATGAGGGAGCGTGGGGATATACTGAAATGAAGATTCCTCAGCCCCACGGACCTCCTGGGCCTTTTCTTTCTTTCTTTTTTTTTTTTGAGATGGAGTCTCTGTCGCCCAGGCTGGAGTGTAGCGGTTCGATCTCCACTCACTGCAACCTCTGCCTCCTGGGTTCAAACAATTCTCCTGCCTCAGCCTCCCTAGTAGCTGGGATTACAGGTGTGCACCACTGCGCCCAGCTAATTTTTTATATTTTTAGTAGAGACGGGGCTTCACCATGTTGGTCTCGAACTTCTGACCTCAGGTGATCCACCCGCCTCGGCCTCCCAAAGTGTTGAGATTACAGGTGTGAGCCACTGAGCCCAGCCTAACCTCCTGGGGCTTGCGATGGGCCAGGGCAAAGCCTCCCAGGTGACCCTTATGTACATGATCCACAGTCTGTGGCCAAGTGTTCACCCAAAGCGCTTGAAACCAAGATCTGAGAAGAGGTTAGTAAATCTGGACTGAAGCCAAGATCCCTGGCACGGACTTTCAGGATGGGCCGGCTGCATGAGGCTGCCCGACTCAGGGTTGTTGCTGTAACCCCGGCAGAGCCGCAGCAGCTCTCAGAAAACTATTTTTGCTGGCATTGACATTGAAGGTGCATCTCACATGGATTAGTCTAACTCAGCTCAACTTCCTGGACTTTTGTATCCAAGACATCTAATGATTCCCACCCTTGGACGGGGCTCCACCCAAGTGAGAAAGATGTTCAGGGCAGTGCAATTTGTGATGGTAAAATCTGGGTGGCACTCCAAAGATCGGGTAGTAGGGGAGACCGAGCACGTTTCCACGTGAAGCCATGGAAATCAGCTCACAGGTGGCCCGCAGGGAGGCAGGGAACCGTGGAGTGGAAACGCGATGTTCCGTGGGAAAGGAGAAGACAGATTCTGTGAACACAACCGCTTGTGACAGATGATATGCAAAAGCTTAAAGCACAGTGAGCTGAAAAGATTTGGAAGTGATGCCGAGTTTACAAACAAAAAGGACCCTGTGGCCTTTAAAAGTACATGAATTCACAATTTAAAGAGAGACCAAGCTCCACCTAATGGGGACATCTGTAAGGGTGGTGACAATGCCTAAATCATGTGGCACCGTTCCCAGTACAGGCCTACGGGGCGTCCATTGGCTCTAGGTTTAGATTCTACAGCATCTGGTTCTTCATCCCAGCCTTTTTTATTGACACCTCCACGCCGCCCCCTTTTTATTCCCATCTTCTGTCTCATTTTGGCTTACTCACGCAGAACATTGCAAAAGTGCCCCTCACATTCAGTAGTGGGGGACTGTTGGCGATTAAATTCACATTAGGCTTCTGTGGTAGTGAGAGAGGTGCCTGGATCATGTAGGAGTTGATACAAGAAAGATAATTCTCCTACAACCACACACACACACACACACACACACACACACACACACACACACACCCCTAGGATTAGGAACAGGCTTTGCATGCTCTGAAGTTCTGGGCCCATCACAGGAGTTGAAAATGGTCTCTCCCCAGATGTGGATTCTAGGGAAGAAAAGAGGGAGATCATCGGAACCATCATGGCTCGGGGGCCTGATGAGGTCCTGATGTAGCCATTTTGGGTTGGCTGCAGAGCTGGCAGATGGGCTGTGTGTGAGCCTGGTGGAGGTCCAATGAAGCTAAGTCATTGAAGCCCTAAAAGAGGGGCCTTTCTGTGGGCTCAGCACAGAGGATTCTGTTCTCCTTGAGGGAGGTGAGAGGTGGCCTTGTGGCTGGACCAGCAGCAGCATCACCAACTCTGGGGTACCAGCTTCAGTGAGGGCCCCATGGGGCAGATGCAGGCAGCGGCGGCAGCAGCAAATCCTTAGGCACCCATTCTCTCCTAGGGAACAGGGATCAGGTGAACCCCCCATTTTGGGCCATGTAACCTGCCAGGGGAGAGAGGATTCCTCAAGAAAGATACTGGACGGCCTGGGTCTAGTGGGTGGGGGGCAGGAGGTGATTTTAAGTTAACCTCCAGAAATAAGCGCATTATCCATTCCTGTAGTGAAAGCACTGTGGAGCAATTCATAGAATTGCCGCCTGGAATTTCGAGGAAGAAAGGTTCAATAATCCAGAATTTGCCCTCACATCTGAGGCTTCCTAGATTGCAAGGTGTTCAGCAGGCCTGTAATGTTTCACCCTGAGAGTCCGGATCCCACTGGGACTCCAAATGGACGATCTCATCGCTACCTCCGGCTCCTCCGGTCTACAGACTTCCTTGCTGGAATGAGTTCTTGTTGTTGAAGGCCGCATTCCCTCCAGTCTGCACTAGGAATCTTGGATAACAAGGGGGTTATCCCAGAAGGCCGCCTCTGCAGATTTCAGAGGAAATTTAATGTGATCTATGGCTTGGGAAACTGAAGCGAAAAACCAAAAAGCAGGTTGGGCGTGGTGGCTCATGCCTGTAATCCCAGCATTTTGGGAGGCCAAGGCAGGCGGATCATGAGGTCAGTGGTTCGAGACCAGCCTGACTAACATGGTGAAACCCCGTCTCTACTAGAAATCCAAAAATTAGGTGGGCGTGGTGGCGCCCACCTATAATCCCAGCTGCTCAGGGGGCTGAGGCAGGAGAATCACTTGAACCCGGGAGGTGGAGGTTGCAGTGAGCCGAGATCGCACCACTGCACTCCAGTTCAGGTGACAGTGTGAGACTCTGTCTCAAAAAAAAAAAAAAAAGAGGCTGGGCGCGGTGGCTCTAGCCTGTAATCCCAGCACTTTGGGAGGCCGAGATGGGTGGATCACGAGGTCAGGAGATCGAGACCATCCTGGCCAACATGGTGAAACCCCGTCTCTACTAAAAAATACAAAAAAACTAGCCGGGCGAGGTGGCGGGCGCCCGTAGTCCCAGCTACTCGGGAGGCTGAGGCAGGAGAATGGCGTAAACCCGGGAGGCGGAGCTTGCAGTGAGCTGAGATCCGGCCACTGCACTCCAGCCTGGGCGACAGAGCGAGACTCTGTCTCAAAAAAAAAACACAAAAAACTGAAAAGGCTGGGAAGTTCTCAGAAAAAGTGATTCTGACCCAGTGGTTGCAAATAAATGTTTTAATATTTCAAAAAGCCTCCCATCCCCAGCCCCAGAAATTGTACATTTGCCTGTGAAAGGTGGCAGAGGCTCACTGAAGTCGGATTTCTTTATTTCTGACTGGACTTGTTGGGTCGGGGTCATCCTTGGGGCCCCAGGCTTCCCTGCGATGGTGGGCACTCACCTCCCTTCCCGTTCCCCTCTCTTCCCAGTTCTTGGTTCAGCTGATGGTGTTCCTGATCAGCTTCATAAGCTCCGTGTTCTGTGGCCACCTGGGCAAGCTGGAGCTGGACGCAGTCACGCTGGCGATCGCGGTACGTATGGGCTTTCCGGCAGGTCTACCAACACTGTCTGTGTTTGTCTCCTGCTGCTACTATAACAAATCACTAAAATGTAGTGGTCGAAACCTACACAGACTTATTCTCTTACAGTGCTGGAGTGCAGAAGTCTGAAGTGGGTTTCATGGCCTAAAATCAAGGTGCTGCAACTTTAATTCCCCTATGCCATGTAACCTTGCAGATTCCTAGGTTCTGGGGATTGGGATGGGGACATCTTGGGGGGCATTATCCTGTCTACCACATCTTCTCATTTCTATTTATTTTATTTTATTTTGTTTTTTTGTTTTGAGACGAAGTCTTACTCTGTCATCCAGGCTGGAGTGCAATGGTGCGATCTCGGCTCACTGCAACCTCCGCCTCCCGGGTTCAAGCGATTCTCCTGTCTCAGCCTCCTGAGTAGCTGGGGTTACAGGCAGGTGCCACCACACTTGGTTAATTTTTGTATTTTTAGTAGTGATGGGGTTTCCCATGTTGCCCAGGCTGGTCTTAAACTCTTGAGTTCAAGCAATCCACCTGCCTTGGCCTCCGAAAGTACTGAGATTACAGGCGTGAGCCACTGCGCCCAGCCTCACATCATCTTATTTCTTTTTTTTTTTTTTTTTTCGGACGGAGTCTCCCTCCAACCCAGGCTGGAGTGCAGTGGTGTAGTCTCGGCTCACTGCAACCTCTGCCTCCTGGGTTCAAGCAATTCTCCCGTCTCAGCCTCCTGAGTAGCTGGTACTACAGGTGCCTGCCACCAAGTCTGGCTAATTTTTGTATTTTTAGTAGAGACGGGGTTTCACCTTGTTGCTCAGGCTGGTCTTGGACTCCTGACCTCAGGTGATCCACCCGCCTTGGCCTCCCAAAGTGCTGGGATTACAGGCATGAGCCACAGCACCCGGCCTACATCATCTTATTTCTAATCCATGGAACTCGTTCCCACTCTTGGTCCCACAGCCTGGGGAGGGGAACAGTAAAAGGGGCGTTCAAGTCTGACTTCCTCAGAGGAACTGACTCCCCCCATGCCCACCCCTCAGTTGTCTGTCTTACTGAGAGTCCTAATCTAGAAAGGAGTCTGGAAGGTGAAAGTCTAGATCTTTGTGTCCAAATTTAAAATTGGAAAGATCTGCAAATCCTCTCCGTATAGTAGATGTGAACTCCCCCAAACCAGAGACATGTCATCAGTCTCAGCCAGGAATTGTCACCTGGCCACGCAAGACCAAAAGTTTTGGTTTGTCTAGTTAGGGTATTTCTAGAAAAGTGGATTCAGTGGCTCTGGGGCAAGTGTATGTTCCCCTTTCCTTTCCTCCTGCCCTGATGGAGACACAGTTTCACTTGATCTGCCTGGTCTGACCAGGCATTTGAGTTTGCTACCCATGAACTATGCAAGATGCCTGGGAACTAGTCACCAAGTATATGTGGAACTAGCTATGAGTACATATGGCTTATTTATTTATTTATTTTGAAATGGAGTCTCGCTTTGTTGCCCAATCTGGAGTGCAGTGGTGCGATCTTGGCTCACTGCAGCTGCCACCTCCGGGGTTCAAACGATTCTCCTGCCTCAGCCTGGGATTATAGGCATGCGCCACCACACCCAGCTAATTTTTTGTATTTTTAATAGAGATGGGGTTTCACCATGTTGGTCAGGTGGGTCTTGAACTCCTGATTTTGTGATCCGCCCTCCTCGACCTCCCAAAGTGCTGGGATTACAGGCGTGAGCCACTGCCCCAGCATGACTTATTTTATTTTGGCTATAGTGGGCAACATGGACAAATCCCAGGCTTAATTATCCATTTTGTTTTTAAGTATTGTATATTTGCAATAGAGGAGAAGACGGAAATGCACTTAGCAAGACTCAGCAGATTCTCTTTGGCCAAGGAATTGCAGGATGTGGCCAAGGACTTATCAAAGTCAGTGCTTCCAGGCCAGGTGCAGTTTGGGCTGTTGTCCACAGGTTCCCTGCTGTAGAATCAAGTGGAGTTACCAGATTCCAGATAGGGAGTGCATCAGACATCCTGCGATACCACTCCCTGGTTTGGGGGGCACTGCCCTGGGTTCCCCAAAGCTTCAGGGTTTGCTGCTAACCCTGGTGAAGGTGAGCATACCTGGAAAGCCTCTGGCACTAGCCTGGACTTCAGACTGCCTCTGCACTCCCAGTGTCCCCCAGGGTACGGATGCAGGCCATGCTAGGTCTCCAGCAGGTGGGCTTTTCTGTGCTACTATGCCATTGCATTCCCAGAAGAAGTGTCCCTGATTGCTGAAATTGGAGCGCAAAGTGACTTTTTTTTTTTTTTTGAGACGGAGTCTTGCTCTGTCACCCAGGCTGGAGTGCAGTGGCACGATCTTGGCTGACTGCAAGCTCCGCCTCCCGGGTTCACGCCATTCTCGTGATCCAAGTCGCCAGGTTGCAACAGTGAAAGAGGTTTAATTGTAAGGCCACTGAATGAGGAAACCTCAAATCAGTTTCTCCAAGGAGTTTGGGGCTAGAGTTTTTAAGGGTTTTCGAATGGGCTGAAGTGTGATTGTTGTTTGGTTGAAGAGTGCAGCGTGAAGTCATGGGATAGGGTGATGAAGAAACTGTGTTCTCGTGCTGATTCAGTTCCTCTATGTGGGTCTTCAAACTGGTTGGTGTCAGATGTTTCACTGGAATTTAGGCTCTGCTTAATAATTTTTTTTTTTTTTTTTTTTTTTTGAGACAGAGTCTCGCTCTGTCGCCCAGGCTGGAGAGCAGTGGCATGATCTCAGCTCACTGCCACTTCTGTCTCCCGGGTTCAAGTGATTCTCTTGGCTCAGCCTCCTGAGTAGCTGGGAATACAGGCGCCCGCCACCATGCCCGGCTAATTTTTGTATTTTTAGTAGAGATGGGGTTTCACTGTATTGGTCAGGCTGGTCCCAAACTCCTGACCTCATGATCTGCCCACCTAGGCCTCCCAAAGTGCTGGGATTACAGGCATGAGCCACCACACCCGGCCAGATTTTTTTTTTCTTTTTTGAGTCAGGGTCTCCATTACCCAGGCTAGAGTGCAGTGGTGCTCTCTACTGCACTCTAGAAGCTCACTGTAATCTCTGCTTCTTGGGCTCAAGTGATCCTTTCACCTCAGCCTCCAGAAATAGCTGGGACTGCAGGAGCATGCCACCATGCCTGCTAGTTTTTGTACTTTTGTAGAGATGACGTTTCATCATGCTGCCTCGGCTGGTCTCAAACTCCTGGGCTCAAGCGATCCTCCCACCTTGGCCTCCCAAAGTGCTGGGATTACAGGCATAAACCACCACGCCTGGCCAACAATTCTTAAACAATAGCCTTATGATTGTAACACCAGAAATCCCATCTGTAGGAACAGTGGGGATGCACATGGCCAGTGTCTGGTAGGAACAGTGGGGATGCACGTGGCCAGTGTCTGGTAGGAACAGTGGGGATGCACGTGGCCTGTGTCTGGTAGGAACAGTGGGGATGCACGTGGCCTGTGTCTGGTAGGAACAGTGAGGATGCACGTGGCCTGTGTCTGGTAGGAACAGTGGGGATGCACGTGGCCAGTGTCTGGTAGGAACTGGGGATGCACGTGGCCAGTGTCTGGTAGGAACAGTGGGGATGCACGTGGCCAGTGTCTGGTAGGAACAGTGGGGATGCACGTGGCCAGTGTCTGGTAGGAACAGTGGGGATGCACGTGGCCAGTGTGTCTGGTAGGAACAGTAGGGATGCACGTGGCCAGGAACAGAGGGGATGCATGTGGCCAGTGTCTGGTTGGAACAGTGGGGATGTACATGGTCAGTGTCTGGTAGGAACAGAGGGGATGCATGTGGCCAGTGTCTGGTAGGAACAGCGGGGATGTACATGGTCAGTGTCTGGTGCCACATGACTTTCAGTTATAAGGAAGTGGGTCAAAGTGCAGCCTGATTAATACTGTAGTTCTGGGCCGGGCGGGGTGGCTCACACCTGTCATCCCAGCACTTTGGGAGGCCAAGGTGGGCAGATCATGAGGTGAAGAGATTGAGACCATTCTGGCTAACATGGTGAAACCCCGTCACTACTAAAAATACAAAAATTAGCTGGTTGTGGTAGCACGCGCCTGTAATGCCAGCTACTCGGGAGGCTGAGGCAGGAGAATCCCTTGAACCCGGGAGGTGGAGGTTGCAGTGAGCCGAGATTGCGTCACTGTGCTCCAGCCTGGGCGACAGAATGAGACTCTGTCTCAAAAAAAAAAAAAAGTATATGTATACACACACACACACACACACACACACACACACACACACACACACATATATATATCTCTATATAATAGTTCTGTCCAGAATTCTTGATAAACCTGTGAGAATGGCTTCGGTCTGAGCGGGGTCCAGGCAGCTAACAAAGTTGGTAAAATTGACTTGTGAATGCTGAAGGAGGAGCTTTGCAGGTTCTCATCAACAGACACAGGGATTTTGTCTTCCTTTCCTCCTTTCACTCTACAGGGCCTTATCTTTGGGTTTATTCGCAGGTTATCAATGTCACTGGTGTCTCAGTGGGATTCGGCTTATCTTCTGCTTGTGACACCCTCATCTCCCAGGTAAATGGCAGTGGTCACACGCTCACAGGGACCTCAGACATCTTTTCTCAAGTGTGGATGGAAGAGCCTCACTGGCAGGAAGAGCCCAGCAGCCAGCACCTGCAGCGCCTATCGGCCGGCAGCTCCTCTTCTCCTGGCCTGCTTTCTTTGAAATGTCACTGGGTTTCTTTCAGCTGTGTCAACTACTTTTTGTCTGCACAACTGCCTTACACTATATTTTGAACACACAGGGGACATGTTGTAAAAGTCCCTTCTATTGCTCCCTACGTTTGAATTTGCTATAGTTCTGTGGCTTTCAAAATTGAGCATGCATTGAACTTGGAGGGCTTGTTAAAACCCAGCTTGCCTGGCCCCACCCAGTGGCAGGCTGGTAAATGTTCAGCAACCAGGTCTTGGGTGAAAGGGGAAGGAGGGTGAAAGCGGAAGGAGGGAAACACGTGACTGGCGGTGTTTGCCAATTCCAGGGGTGTAAGTAGTTCCTCTGGTTAATTTCAGACTACCAGAGATGTCACTGAACCTGGAGCTGGAGGAGACGCGCACAGCTTGAAAAGATGTGCAAAATTTGGCTTGTTTTGTTTTGAGACGGGGCTTGCTCTGTCGCTCAGGCTAGGCTGCAGTGGCACACCCATTGCTCACTGCAGCCTCGAACTCCTGAGCTCCAGCGATCCTCTTGCCTCAGCCTCTCAAGTACCTGGTATTACAGGCATGCACCACTACACACAGCTAATTTTTTGTATTTTTTGTAGAGATGGGGTTTCTGATCTCAAACTCCTGGGCTCAAGCAATCTTCCTACCTCAGCCTCCCAACATGTTGGGATTATAGGCATGAGCCACAATGCCCAGCCTGGCTTTTTTTTTTTTTTTTTTTTTTTTGAGACGGACTCTGGCTCTGTTGCCCAGCTTGGAGTGCAGTGACGGGATCTCGGCTCCCTAACCTTTGCCTCCCTAAAAAAATTTTTTTTCCAGTCTCTAAAAATAAATGAAGTATGAATTTCAGATTGTTTACTTCTGTAAAAAGAAAAATTGTTTTAAATAGAATTTTTTTAAAAAAAAGTATGGATCTCTGAATCCTGCCCTGGGTGAATTAAGTCCAGAATGTCATTAGTGAGACTGTTTTGAAAATGATCCCCCGGTGATGCTAATGGAAGCTGAGTTTGAGAAGCATCCTCCTTCACACCATCCTCATCCTACCTAAACAGTGGGGCAAAGTCTCTAGGGCCATGGACTTCTTTTTTTTTTTTTTTTTTGAGACGGAGTCTTGCTCTGCCCGCCAGGCTGGAGTGCGGTGGTGTGATCTCAGCTCACTGCAACCTCTGCCTCCTGGGTTCAAGCGATTCTCCTGCCTCAGCCTCCTGAGTAGCTGGGATTACAAGTGTGAGCCACCTCACCCAGCCAACCTGCTTCTTTATGAGGCACAATTGAAGGCTTTTAGGGGACAGCTGGGGTGCTGGGTCTGTGCTAATGGGTTCATTTTGGCTGTGTGCACCCCAGACGTACGGGAGCCAGAACCTGAGGCACGTGGGCGTGATCCTACAGCGGAGTATGCTCATTCTGCTCCTCTGCTGCTTCCCCTGCTGGGCGCTGTTTCTCAACACCCAGCACATCCTGCTGCTCTTCAGGCAGGACCCGGTTGTGTCCAGGTAAGATGGAACCTGTCACGGCGGGACTGTGTGTCCGTCCCACAGAAAGATTATCCCCTCTGGGTGCAGCCAAGGCCAGGGACAAGGCCGCACACCAAGGTGGTGCTAATCTCTCCTTGGCTGACGTCTCCTAGGTCTTAATACTTTCCTCACCTGGCACCTAAGATGTACTCTCCCTCCCCTCCTGGGTGACTTGCATGGTTAAGAGTTTTCAATGAAAACAGATTTGCAAGCACTCTGCATGTGGGATGGTAGTTTCTGACGTTTGCTCAAAGCTTAGTTATTCTTGACCTTGGTTGATATTAAAATCACCTGGGTGCTTTCAAATCCACCTGTGCCCCTGCTCCCTACCACTCAATATTCTGTTTTGTTTTTCTTTTTTTGAGACCAAGTCTCGCTCTGTCCCCCAGGCTGGAGTGCAGTGGTGCGATCTTGGCTCGCTGCAACCTCTGCCTCCCGGGTTCAAGCAATTCTCCTGCCTCAGGCTCCTGAGTAGCTGGGATTACAGGCGCCCGCCACCACGCCTGGCTAAGTTTTGAACTTTTAGTAGAGACGGGGTTTCATCATGTTGGTGAGGCTGGCCTCAAACTCCTGACCTCATGGGATCTGTCACCTCGGCCTCTCAAAGTGCATGAGCCACCATGCCCGGCCAGGATTCTGTTTTAATTGGTCTGGGCTGAGGCCTGGGTATTAGTATCTTTCAAAGCACCCTAGGTAATTCTAATATGCTGCCAAGTTTGAGAACCAGTGATTTAATTGGGTAAGAGCTTTTAAAACTCTAATCTAGACCAGCGGCTCTGAACTAGGAGACATTTGGCAACATCTGAAGACATTTCCGGTTATCACAGCTGGCTGTAGGCGGGTGCTCCTGGTAGAAGCCAAGGAGGCTGTGAAAGATCCTGCAGTGCTCGGGACAGCACCCCACAACAGGCGGAGAATTACCTGGCCATAGTGCTGAGGTTGAAAAACCCTGTCCTAGACATAAAGACATCAAATAACCAAGAAAGGTTATCTGGGTTATAAGATGACAAGCTCTATATGTAAATTTTCACATTTGCTCTAGCAATTTTTTCTTTCTTTCTTTTGTTTTTTTTGAGATGGAGTCTCGCCCTGTCGTCCAGGCTGGAGTGCAATGGCGTGATCTCAGCTCACTGCAACCTCCTCCTCCCGGGTTCAAACGATTCTCCTGCCTCAGCCTCCCAAGTAGCTGGGATTACAGACAGCCGCCACCATGCTCGGCTGTTTTTTGTATTTTCAGTAGAGACGGGGTTTTACTGTGTTAGCCAGGTGGTCTCGAACTCCTGACCTAATGATCTGCCTACCTCGGCCTCCCAAAGTGCTGGGATTACAGGCGTGAGCCACCACGCCCGGCCTGCTCCAGCAACTTAAGCCTATTAATTTCGAAAGAGCCAAGGATGCAAAAGGCAGTTTTAGTTATTTTCTTCTGCCCACCTTTCCCTGGAAACAGAGGCCTCCATCACAGTTTTTGTTGTTGTTTTTCTTTTCGTTATTTAGGCTTACCCAGACCTATGTCACGATCTTCATTCCAGCTCTTCCTGTAAGTGCTTAAGGGCTAAGAGGTTCCCTTCTTGGGGTCCGTGGGTGAAAGGTAGCCGCCATATCTGTGAGCTCAGTGCATTGGCTCAGTCTTAGATGATTCTTATCTGTGCTGTTGGTGCCCATCAAGGAAGCCTGTTTTTATTTATGCCTGTTAAGGACACAACAGATGCTTGTCTCAAGGAACACCAAGATTGAGGCTACTCCAGGAGGTCCAGAGTAGCGCTGGAGAGACCTCCAGAATCATCCATAGAGAAGAGTGCAAACTTTTATTGTAAACAAGGGCAAAGTCTCACCCATCTGAGAACCCCTGAGGGTGTCACTTAGAACCTTTAGACTTTTTTTGGTCTGCTGAGTTTGACCACACAGAACCGGTAAGCATGGGTTAATGTTTGACACAGTAGTGTGTGGTCAATGAACAATGAGAGCTAAGTGGTTTTTTTGTTTGTTTGTTTGGTGTTTTGGAGACAGGGTCTCATTGCTGTCACCCAGGCTGAAGTGCAGGGACATTGTGACATTGTCATAGCTCACTGCACCCTTGACCTCCTGGGCTCAAGCCATCATCCTGTCTCAGCCTCCTAGGTAGCTGGAACTACAAGCACAAGTCACCACACTTGGCTAATTTTTTAGTTTTTGTAGAGACAAGGTCTTGCTTTTTTTTCTTTTTTTTAAGCTAGGGTGTCACTCTGTTGCCCAGACCGAAGTGCAGTGGCACAATCTTCACTCATTGCAACCTCTGCCTCCCGGGCTCAAGTGATCCTCCTACCTCAGCCTCCCGATTAGCTGGTACTGCAGGTGCACACCACCATACCCAGCTAATTTTTGTATTTTTTGTAGAGACAGCATTTTACCATGTTTCCCAGGCTGGTCTCGAACTCCTGGATTCAAGCGATCCGTCTGCCTTGGCCTCCCACAGTGTTGGGTTGCATGTGTGAGCCACCACGCCTGGCCTGAGAGCTAAGTGTTTGTTATTCAGATGGAGACTGTAGCTGAATTAGTCTGCGGGGGCTTCCATAATATAATACCACACACTAGGGGGCCTAAACAACAGAATTTTATTTTCTTACAGTTCAGGAAGCTGGAAGTCCAAGGTCAAGGCGTAGCAGGGTTGGTGCCCTCTGCGGCCTCTCTCCTTGGCCTGCAGACGGCCACCCTCTGCAGGTTGTCCCCTATGCATTCATACCCTGGTGTCTCCTGTCTTCTTATGAGGACACCAGTCCTATTGGATTAGGGCCCCACCCTAATGACCTCATTTTAATTTTATCTCCCTTTGAGGACCTCCAGTTAGTCACACTGGGGACTAGGGCTTCAATATATGGATCTAGGGACACCATTTGCCCTCAGAATTGACAGTGTGCTCACTTATTTATCCTGAAACCTTGTAAATGTGACAGTCTTTCGTGATGCCACCACATAGGACCAGTCTATATGGAGGTGCCCATCTGGAGTGTGCCCGGGGCCTCCTCTCCATGCCAGTGTCCCCAGAAGAGTCCTGGCCATTCACCCAGGGAAACTGCACCTCCTTTTGCCAGACAGAGGGAATATGCTTGGGGCATATTCACCCACAAAGGAGATGTGGGAAGTCCCCGGGCCATAACCCCTGGCCCCAGCCCTGTCCTGAGACGGCAGCCTCTGTGGCTCCGTGCGGGAGCAGAGGGCAGCCGAGCCTTGGCTGTGGCTCCCAGCTCCCTGCCGTGTGACCCTCACTGCTGTGTGGCAAGGCTGAAACATTAACATTCATCTCTCTTGTTCTCTTGTAGGCAACCTTTCTTTATACGCTACAAGTTAAATATTTGCTCAACCAGGTAATACTGACTGTTCTCTTCCTTTGGGAGGCTAATGGGAGTTTGTACCTTTCTGGGAGTGGGGGTCCTGAAGATACTCCAGGACCAGGGACACCAGGGTGGAGGGAGCTCACCGCTGGGAGCCACTGAAAGGTATTTTTTCATTGTTGTGCACACACGACTCGGATGTCAGAGGTTTGTTAAGTGATATCCAGGAAAGAACATATTATATTTGGCTCTGGAAAACGTATCCAATTTCCACTTGGAAATATTGTCATTGGCAGGGTGGGCTCAGAGCCGCAGTGTTCCTTGGCTCTGCATTTTAACCAGTGTCCTGGAAAGAAGGGTGCATGCCTGTTTGCTCCCGAGACAGAGCGCAGGCTGGGGGCGGCTCGTCTGGCAGAGAGGGAACCCGCCTGTCTGCTCTGTGCTGTCTGAATGTCCACACTTTTCTCAGCGAGGATATAAGAGCTCAGACTCTCATGACATCTAACGTCAGCCAGAACTCCTCCTATGTGATTAAACAGTCACAGCCAAAGGCCCTGGCTTGGAAGGGGTAGATTTATGAAATCAGCATATGTGGGACTCGCCACATTCTTCCAGACAAGTCCAGGTAAACGGGTACCCGGCAATGGATCCCGGCCGCACTGGTGGGCTCTCCAGGGATGTGCAACGGGGGGGCCAGGACGGGAGGAGGAAGAAAGGAAGTTTCCCACCTATCTTGAAGTTAAGATATTACCCTATTTAAAAAAAATATATATATATATATATTTTTTTTTTGAGAGGGAGTCTTGCTCTGTTGCCCAGGCTAGAGTGCAGTGGCCGGATCTCAGCTCACTGCAAGCTCCGCCTCCCGGGTTTTACGCCATTCTCCTGCCTCAGCCTCCCGAGTAGCTGGGACTACAGGCGCCCGCCACCTCGCCTGGCTAGTTTTTTGTATTTATTTGGTAGAGACGGGGTTTCACCGTGTTCGCCAGGCTGGTCTCGATCTCCTGACCTCGTGATCCGCCCGTCTCGGCCTCCCAAAGTGCTGGGATTACAGGCTTGAGCCACTGCGCCTGGACAAAAAAAATATTTTTAAAGTAGATATGGGGTCTTGCTATGTTGCCCAGGCTGGTTTCAAATTCCTGGCCTCAAGAAATCCTCCTGCCTCAGTCTCCCAAAGTGCTGGGATTACAGGTGTGAGCCACTGCCTCCGGCCAGGATATTACTCTATCAACAAAACAAGAATATTTAGAATCCCTATTAGTATTTAGAATGACATCTCCGAATAGGTGTAGACTAGAGAGAAGGAAACCCACACATCTCATCCGGCTCCGGACTGTCTCCTTTTGATCTAGACCCTTGCTAAGGCAGCACGGATACCTTAGCATGCTGCAAGGCCTTCTCCTGGACTCAGTCCCCCAACAACTGCGGTGGCCCTAACCTCAGGGTCTGATGTGACCTACTGAGGACAGTGAGTGTGAAAGTCTTCTCTCCTGTTCTCTGGGGCACAGGGAAAGGCCTGGAAGTAGGAGCCACGAGCTGAGAGGGGTTGGGAGCTTTGAATTTGGTGACAGAGGACACGTGGGGTTTCCAAGGTCAGGAAGGAAGGCAGGGCATCCCAGACAGAGGGGATACCTGTTTCTAGGGGCTGGGGCCCGCCAGGTCTCGTTAGGCCACTGCGGTGGGAGGGGACGCAGTGAGATGATGGCATCGAGAGGCGGGCTGGCCCAAGGTCAGGCTTTGTGTTTTCTGCTGGGGCATTTCGTTTTGGGAAATTAACTAATTGGGAGAGGAAGAGGTGAGAGTTATGGACATGGTCCAAACAAATGATGGTGAAGGTCTGTGATGAAGAGTTTGCGTTGTGGGAGCAGTGGGAGATAGGATGATGGGTGGGTTCTATAAAAATGGCAGGGGCTGTCGGGCCCCCAGGGTGGAAGGAGTTTCTGCCCTGGGCCCTTCCCTAGGAAGACAGGGTGACCATTCGCTGAGCGTAGCACCGAAGAGAAGCAGCTGGGAGTTTGGAGAAAGTGAATGCTCTCGGAGAGGGCGGAGGGTGGGAAGAGAGCCAGATGGTACTAGGGGGAAGACAGACTTTGAAGTAGGAGAGTCAAGAGGGCCTTGGAGGAGAAGGTCACTCCACTGGGCGTGGAGACGCATTCGTATTGCAGGCTTGGCCGTCTCCTCTCGTCCTCCCACGAGCCTGCTCCTCTGCCTTCTTCCGTTCCATTGCAATGGGTGGAATTGTGTGGCCTCCCCATTTTCACTCCCAGTAACCTGTCCTTTTGGTCCCTGTCACATCCTCGACTCCATCTTTCCTTCCCTCCCACATTTGGTCAGTCACCTGGTCCTTTAGCTTCTGCCTGCTCCTCCCAATTCTCAATGCCACCACCTGAATTCATTTCTTTCTTTTTCTTTTTTTTTCTTTTTTTTTTTGAGACAGAGTCTCACTCTGTTGCCCAGGCTGGAGTGCAGTGACGTGATCTCGGCTCACTGCAACCTCCACCTTCCAGGTTCAAGTGATTCTCCTGCCTCAGCCTCCCAAGTAGCTGGGACTACAGGCGTGTGCCACCGTGCCCAACTAGTTTTTGTATTTTTAGTAGAGACAGGGTTTCACCATGTTGGCCAGGCTGGTCTCAAACTCCTGACCTCAGGTGATCCGCCCACCTTGGCCTCCCAAAGTGCTGGGATTACAGGCGTGACCCACCGCACCCAGCCCTGAATTCATTTCTTGTCATTTGTCCTCTGTGTCATTTCAGAGGACCTTAACCTGTCTCCATCCACTGCCGTCTGCCTGAAAAGTAAATCTGATCACTAATTCCCTTGCTAAAAACTAACCAGGGCCTCCCCATAAATATGTGGGCTACACAAGTCATCGGCCAAGACCATTGTCTTGGCCCCACCAGCCTGAGACCACCAGAGACAGGCCTGCAGGCCAGTGGGTTTGCAGTTGGATTTATCAACCTGTGGCAATGAGAGAGACTAGAGGGGCCGGGGGATGCCTCACTAAAGGAAGAAAAGTTATTATAAAGGTTTGAAGAAGGATGGGGCTCAGGTGACATTATTAAACATATCGAAACCACGGTTTGATAGGCACCGAGCAGATCTGTGAGTGAGGGGCCCAACACCAGGTCTGGGCTGTGATGTGGACCCGGTGCTCCTCCTTTGGAAACTCAAGGCTAAGCAGGATGTTGAGGGTGGACAGATGTAGAATGCCACATCCAGGAGCTCCCACGAAGCTCTGTGCCTATTTTTGAGACTACTTTTTTGTGTTAAAGTGATTTTGAGCCTGCAGGCAAGAGTGGGGTGTTCTCTTTTTACTGATACAATTTCAAATAGCAGTGTTTCTGAACAGTGTGATTTTAGAGAACAAAGTTTCTCAATGAATCAGAAAGCACTCGTCATTCTACTAGGGGAGTAATGACACTTTATGGGGACAGCGTGACCTTGGGAGAAAGGTTTCCTCTTACGTTTGCACTGACTTTATTTGCGTCTGCTATTCTAGCCGGATGCGGAGCAGAACAGAGTTTTACTTCCTCGGTCTGATGTAATTTTACTTTCACGCCCTGTCTTACTTTGACACACCAAATAGTCTGGATGTTTCTCCGGTCCTGTACTTTTGAGAGTTAGATATGTTGCAATCCCTTCCATATTCTAGAAAGGAACTCTAGTTTCTTCAAGACCTTAGGTCAATTTTTTTTGAATTTCTATGTTGGTCAAGAAAGTATTCTCATTTTCTCCTATCGTCCGGTGTCAAAGATGGCTTGTTGACCCATTTAGCCCCTGCCAGTCCTTGCCATGTTGGAAATAAGCCATTTATCTTCTTCCTTCTGTGCTGTTGAACGTATCTTGTCTGTGTCTCTCTGTGGCCAGAACGCCGCACTTCATACCTCAAAGAGAGAAGGAAGAGAAAGGGATGGGAGAGTGGAAAGGCAGGAGCAACCAGGACGTGGCCTCCCCAGTTAAGCCCCCCTGCTCTGCCCGTGACACCCACTGAGCAGGCCAGCTGGAGCCTGTGTGCTTGGGGAGCAGAAAGGCAGTCCTATTCTGTGGATCTCAAGGATGGCATATGCGGTGTCCTTGTTCCAGGGAATTCTCCTGCCCCAGATCGTAACTGGAGTTGCAGCCAACCTTGTCAATGCCCTCGCCAACTATCTGTTTCTCCATCAGCTGCATCTTGGGGTGATGTGAGTCCAATGTACTCTTGGGACAGGGACAAGGGATGACTTGCATGCGGCTTTTCCAGGAGGGAGAAGAGTGGGCTCTTCAGCTGGTTCTCGTGTTCACACGTGGTGTCTTTCTTGCACACCGTGGAAAGCACTGTCAGGGATGGAGGGTGAGGCTGCTCTGGGAAGAAGACCTTGGTCTGCTGAGGACGGCACGGGAAGGGATGAGTCTCCCCTCCTCACCCAGTGGGGCAGGGAGAGGTGCAGGAAGGCACCTCCCTCTCACTGGGACTGTTCTTTCCAGAGGCTCTGCAGTGGCAAATTTGATTTCCCAGTACACCCTGGCTCTACTCCTCTTTTTCTACATCCTTGGGAAAAAACTGCATCAAGCTACATGGGGAGGTAACGACTGCCCTTTTGTCTTCCAACTGGGACGTGGGTTTTGTCTCGGGTTGAATTCCAGCCCGACGGCCAGATCTCCTGGAAATGTGTGTGTCCCCCCCCACAGGTTGGTCCCTCGAGTGCCTGCAGGACTGGGCCTCCTTCCTCCGCCTGGCCATCCCCAGCATGCTCATGCTATGCATGGAGTGGTGGGCCTATGAGGTCGGGAGCTTCCTCAGCGGTCTGTATGAGGACGGATGACGGGGACTGGTGGGAACCCGGGGGCCCTGTCTGGGTGCAAGGCGACAGCTGTCTCTTTTCACCAGGCATCCTCGGCATGGTGGAGCTGGGCGCTCAGTCCATCGTGTATGAACTGGCCATCGTTGTGTACATGGTAAGCAGGGGAGCCGGTCGTGGGGAGGTGCCAGGCGTTTTCCTCGCTGGGTATCTGAAAGAGTCCATGGATGAGCATAGGCATTCGTACATGAATCATTTGTGAAATGCTGGACAAAAGTCAAATCCCATCCTTGAGCCTGGGAGGGTACCTCTGCTACAGCTGGATCTTCCCTGGGAACTGAAGGGGGGCTGGAGAGAAACTGCACGTGATCTGCTGGTTCTCCATCTCCTAACGCAGCTCCCAGCTGAATCTTCCCTTGAAAGATTTGATTTTGTTTCCATACTTTTAGAATCTTTTTCAGTTGTCACAGCACAAATACCTTGAGGGACCAGGTGGGTGGCATAGCAGAGAGATGAGGCTGGGTGTATGGCCATAAACATCAAGCTGCCTATGTCACTATTCCCACTCCTGCCTGGTTCCGAAGCCTCTGAAAACACAGTGTGGCTACTCCTAGGTAGATCCCCAAAACAACTGAAAGCAGGGTCTTAAAGAGATTTTTTTTTTTTTTTTTTGAGACGGAGTCCCACTCTTGTTGCCCTGGCTGGAGTGCAATGGCGTGATTTCGGCTCACTGCAACCTCCACCTCCTGGGTTCAAGCATTTCTTCTGCCTCAGCCTCTCAAGTAGCTGAGATTACAGGTGCCTGCCACCACGCCCAGCTACTTTTGTATTTTTAGTAGAGACAGGGTTTCACCGTGTTGGTCAGGCTGGTCTTGAACTTGTGACCTCAGGCCATCCACCTGCCTCAGCCTCCCAAAGTGTTGGGATTACAGGCGTGAGCCACCGCACCCGACTTAAAGGGGTGTTTGTTAACTGTGTTCACAGGAGCATTATTGACAGTAGACAAAAGGTGGAAGCAACCTGTGCGTCTGCGGGTAAACAAAATGGGTTCTTCGCATACTGTGGAGTATTATTCAGCCTTAAAGGGGAGGAAATTTTGATCATAGAGAACACGAGTCATTAGGAGGCTTTTCTTTGACTTTATTTTCCTGAAAACATCAGCTGGAGATTCTGAAGGAAGCAAGTACCGTTTTAGAAATGTAAAATTAAAAAACAGAAAGGGAGTTTGTAATGTGGGGAGAAACTCAAGCCAGCAGATGTGCTTGGCATTTTTTGCAGTATTAACACTTAGATTTTTTTCCCTCTGATATTGGTTATGTTTTAAAAGTACATAGAGTACACATTTCCCGTTTTCTTTAAGAATTATTCTCTTGCAGACCTGTTTTTTGTTTTTGTTCTTCTATCCTTGGCAGTTTTTTAACACAGATTTTTTACTTCACTTTTAGTATTTTATTTACATTTTATGTTTGAGTAAATTCATTAACTAATTCTAAATCAAAATGCTTAATGGTACATAGGATTCCACTATATGTGATATACTTTTAAAATCAATTTCCTATGGTTGAACAGTTTATTTCCAATGTTTCAATATTAACAACTCTTCAAGGAACATCCTAGGACAAATATCTTCATACACTTGTCTGATTATTTCTTTAAGATTTGTAAAAGAGAAACAAAGGCACGATTTTATGTCTTTTGAATATGTTTTCATATGCTTTCCAATAGGCTTGTAAGAATTTACACTTACATTTCTTCTCAATCAAAAGAAAGGTGTATGCCCTTTCCTCAGGTTCACCAGTTTTGCCACATTTATTCTGTCTGGTCTATCTACATAGTCCATGTTCAAATAAAAGATCAATACAGTCAATTCAAAACAATACCAGTTGTTCTGGTAATGTCCCTTATCACTAATTTTTCCCTAGCATCTTTAGTGTCCTTTAATCTGGAACAGATCTTCATTGTTCCATTGTCTTTCTTGACCTTGGCATTTTTGAAGAACATAGGCCATTATCTGTAGAAGTTCACTCAGTGTGGTGCAGCTGATGTTTCCTTATAAATAAATTTAGATTGTCCGTTTTGGGCAGGAAAGCTAGAGAAGTGATGCTGTGTCCTCCTTAGTGCACCGTATCAGGAGACACATAATGTTGATCTGTCTCAGTGTTGGTGATACTACCTTTTTACTTGGTGGCAGTGGTGTTTTTTTTTTTTTTTTTTTTTTTTTTTTTGAGACAGCATCTTGCTCTGTCACCCAGGCTGGTGACAGTGGCCTGATCTTGGCTTGTTACAGTCCGACCTCCTGGGCTCAAGCAATCCTCCCACTTCAGCCTCCTGAGTAGCTGGGACTACAGGCATGCACCACCACTCCCAGCTAATTTTTTAAAACAATTTGGTCTTGTTATGTTGCATAGGCTGGTCTCAAACTCCTGGGCTCAAGCAATCCTTCCACCTTGGCCTTCCAAAGTGCTGAGATTACAGGCACAGCCATTGCACCCTGCCAGTATTAACTTTGATTGCTTGGTTAAGGTGGTGCCTGCCAGGTTTCTCCTGTCAAGTTCCTGCCTTTCCCTTTGTAATGAATAAATAATTTGTCAGGTGATCTCTATGTTTGTCCCTGCTTATGAATTTATAGGCAGAGACTCAGTCTTCTATTACTTTTTTATTCCTCAATCTGTGTATCAGATTTTCTTTAAGCTGGTCCTTAGTCATCCTGATCCTAAGGCAATGTTCATGTTTCAACAAGTGATGACTCCTTTTTCCTTATTAATATTAATTTTTCAAGCGGTAACTTTATATAATAATAGTAATGGTAAATCTTTATTGAGCAATTCCTACATGCTTCTTCTAAGCAGTTAGGCATGTATGGACTCATTAAGTTCCCACAATAGCCCAATGAGATAGGTTCTATGATTAAACTCCTTATTTATTTATTTATTTTTTTGAGACGGAGTCTCGCTCTGTCACCCAGGCTGGAGTGCAGTGGCGCGATCTCGGCTCACTGAAAGCTCCACCTCCTGGGTTCACGCCATTCTCCTGCCTCAGCCTCCCGAGTAGCTGGGACTACAGGCGCCCGCCACCACGCCCGGCTACTTTTTTTGTATTTTTTAGTAGAGATGGGGTTTCACCGTGTTAGCCAGGATGGTCTCAATCTCCTGATCTCGTGATCCACCCACCTCGGCCTCCCAAAGTACGGGGATTACAGGCTTGAGCCACCGCGCCAGGCCGATTCAACTCCTTTTACAGATAAAACAAAACTCTGGAGGTTTAGAGAGGGTAAGTAACTTGCTCAGGGTGATGCAGCTGATAAAAGTGGTTACGCTGGGATTTGAACCCAAGCCATAGCCATCTGGCTTCAGAATTGTGATCCCTAACCACAATGCACGGTTTCTTCCCTGCAGTTCCTTTAGTGCCACTCCTGTCTTGTAAACTGGATCCCTTGATAGTCTTTCAGAATAAACACTGTGCCTTTTGTGGTGGCGCATGCCTGTCATCCCAGCTAGTTGAGAGGTTGAGGTTGCAGGATCATTGGAGCCCAGGAGGTCGAGGCTGTAGTGAGCTATGACTGTGCCGCTGCACTCCAGCCTGAGGGACACAATGAGACCCTGTCCCTATTTGATTTTATTTATTTAGAGATGGAGTTTCACTCTGTCACCCAGGCTGGAGTGTAGTGGCACTATCGTGGCTCACTGCAACCTCCGCCTCCCGGGTTCAAGCGATTCTCCTGCCTCAGCCTGCTGAGTAGCTGGGATTACAGGCATGCGCCACCACGCCCAGCTAAGTTTTGTATTTTTTAGTAGAGACAGGGTTTCACCATGTTGGCCAGGCTGGTCTCAAACTCCTGACCACAAGTGATCCGTCCGCCTCGGCCACCCAAAATGCTGGGATTACAGGCCTGAGCCACCGTGCCTGGCCTCTGTCCTATTAAAAAACAAACAAACAACAACAACAACAACAACAACAAAATACAAACCTGGGCTCCCGGTGAGTCAGTCCATCTCCCACACCCAGAGGAGGAACGTGGTTGTGCAGCACCCTCGTGTTGTAGAGGTTGGAAGCTCTGCAGCAAAGCCCAGTTTGTGCTAAGCATCCTAACCTGGGGTTCGGTTTCCACAGTAGCGTGGGAGCTCCCAGCTAGGCAAAGGGGATGTTGCAAATCAGTCTTTTCAAAACTTTTAGGACCAAGTTTTCCCACCAGGTGTGAGACTTGAGGCTGCTTCTGTGCACGTGTTCTCACTCTGCAGATTCGTTGTTGCAGGTTTCCTTTTCATTTTAGGTCCCTGCAGGCTTCAGCGTGGCTGCCAGTGTCCGAGTAGGAAACGCTCTGGGTGCTGGAGACATGGAGCAGGCACGGAAGTCCTCCACCGTTTCCCTACTAATCACAGGTGCTGAGACCCTTTTACCCGAGGCTCTTGGTGCAGTCTCTCCATGCAAAGCCCAGGCTCCCCCATTTCCTGTGGATCTTCTTGCTCACCATGTTGTTTCTTCTGCCGTTTTTACCTTCAGTGCTCTTTGCTGTAGCCTTCAGTGTCCTGCTGTTAAGCTGTAAGGATCTTGTGGGGTACATTTTCACTACCGACCGGTGAGTGCTAGGATTTTCTTGAAATGTGAAATCTGTGATAAAGAAATGGTTCATTGAGAAATTTTGTTCTCTAAAATCAGGCTGTTCAGAAACATTGCTGTTTGAAATCATTATCAGTAAAAAGAAAACATCCCACTCACGCCTGTAATCCCAGCACTTTGGGATCACCTGAGGTCAGGAGTTCGAGGCCAGCCTGGCCAACATGGCGAAACCCCATCTCTACTAAAAATACAAAAATTAGCCGGGTGTGGTGGCAGACACCTGTAATCCCAGCTACTTGGGAGGCTGAGGCTGGAGAATCGCTTAAGCCCACCAGGAGGCAGAGGTTGCAGTGAGCCGAGATTGTGCCACTGCACTCCAGCCTGGGCAACAGAGCAAGACTCTGCCTCAAAAAAAAAAAAAAAAGAAAAAAGAAATGTTTCCTCCAAGAGCAAGGTGCCAGCAGAAAAAGTTTTTTAAAACTGGGAATGTTTTTTAAAAAGAGGCCAGGCACAGTGGTTCACGCCTGTAATCCTTGCACTTTGGAAGGTCAAGGTGGTCAGATCACCTGAGGTCAGGAGTTCGAGACTAGCCCGGGCAACACGGTGAAACCCCCATCTCCACTAAAAATACAAAAATTAGCTGTGCATGGTGGCACACGCCTGTAATCCCAGCTACTTGGGAGGCTGAGGCAGGAGAATCACTGGAACCTGGGAGGCGGAGGTTGCAGTGAGCTGAGATCCCGCCATTGTACTCCAGCCTAGGTGACAAGAGTGAGACTCCATCTCAAAAATTTAAAAAAGAAATGGTTAACTTGGATAGATGCTATCACAGAGGGGCCGCCTGTGGTTGTTGCAGCAGGGATGTCTGAATCATTTGCAAGATCAGAGGCTCCACTGATGTTACTTGGGAAGAACATATTAGATGTAGGAACTGATTTATAATCTCCAATGCCAACTTAATGGGCATTGGTGATGATTTTATGCTTCTGCTGGTCATGTATTTTAAAAGTGGAAAGCCCTTTTTAGTACGATGAATTACATTTTCAGTTAATTATTTTGTTTCCAATGATAAGAATCCTCTTGGTTTCTTAGTATCAGCCAAATTGCCCGGTTTGTAGTAGTTGCATAATATGTTTGTCAAACTGAATTGAAGTTAAAATCTCACCAGTGAGCTGTCTCAAAAGTCACATAGTCAGATTGATTACTGAAGAATTCTTGGATAAGTCCCTTCTGCTCTGCAGAATTTGTTTCCTTCATCAGTGATGCTGGTGTGTACATTCGGATTATGTAGAAACTTTATGGGGATGCTTCTTATTTGGGACACCTTTGTCAGCAGTTACAAGATGCAAATGGACTTTGCCTTCCTGGATTCAGAAAGCTGGTGGAGTGGACAGAACTAATTTCATGGTTTATTCTTCACACATTTGACTTTTGACTTCAGATCGTTGGTTTTCATTTTTCAGCTTCAGCTATTTTGTTACGGGGAAATAAGATGTTTAGGCCAGGCACGGTGGCTCACTCCTGTAATCCCAACACTTTAGGAGGCAGAGGCGGATGGATTGCCTGAGTTCAGGAGTTCAAGACCAGCTGGTCAACATGGGGAGACCCTGTCTCTACTAAAAATACAAAAAAAAAGAAAAAAAATTAGCCAGGTGTGGTGAGGCACACCTGCAATCCCAGCTACTCAGGAGGCGGAGGCAGGAGAATCGCTTGAACCTGGGAGACGGAGGGTGCAGTGAGCTGAGATCCGGCCACTGCACTCCAGCCTGGGCAACAGAGTGAGACTCTGTCTCAAACAAACAAACAAATAAAAAGATGTTTATAGCTCCCTCACTCAGAATGAATGGGGAAGGTGATGGTAAGTAGTTGGCTTTTTTCACAAAGGGAATCAGGATGACCTTTATGAGGACCAGGATAGACGGATGGTTTCAGAAGGAATATGGTAGACACTGGACTCTGAATCTGTCCACTTGCGAAACCATAGAGCGCAGGAAAAGAATGAAAAACAAGAGGCCCACAAACTATAGAACTGATGAGATAAGGAAACATCAGAAGCTCAACAATCAAATTACTTGGAAGGTGACCAGGATCCGACCCAATCTGGTACAATCGGTGAAAGAGCTCAACCTCTACCTAACTTAATCACAGGGGACGGGAAACGACACCTCTAGCAAAGAAAGGAGGACGTTACTACTGACCACAATCGTTTTTTAAAATCCTAAGACACTACTTTGCACGACTTTTTCCAAGGAAATCTAAAAACCTGGAATAAACAGATAAGTTTCTGGGGAAATAATTGATCAGGATATACCCTAGAAAAGATAGAAGGTCTAAATAAACTGATTTCCTGGTAAGAAATAAGAGAAAGCTATTTTAAAATGTCAAAAAGCACAATGCCAGAAGGTTCCAAAGGATGATTTTATCAAATCTTCAAAACATAGGGAATTGCAAACACAGATCAAACAGAAAATTTCCCAGAGCACAGGAAAAGGAAAACTTTGCATTCTGTTTATGAAGCAAATATAACATTGGTGCCAAAATCTGCCAAAGTTTGTACATGAAAAAGAAAATCACAGATCATTCTTTTTTTTTTTTTTGAGACGGAGTCTCGCTCTGTCGCCCAGGCTGGAGTGTAGTGGCCAGATCTCAGCTCACTGCAAGCTCCGCCTCCCGGGTTCGGGCCATTCTCCTGCCTCAGCCTCCCGAGTAGCTGGGACTACAGGCGCCCGCCACCTCGTCCGGCTAGTTTTTTGTCTTTTTAGTAGAGACGGGGTTTCACCGGGTTAGCCAGGATGGTCTCGATCTCCTGACCTCGTGATCCACCCGTCTCGGCCTCCCAAAGTGCTGGGATTACAGGCTTGAGCCACCGCGCCCGGCCACAGATCATTCTTATGTATTAATACCAATCTAAAAATCCAAAATAAAAATATTATTAGACAGAATTTAGCAGCACATTGAAAAGAATATATTTTGGTGAAATATAAAAGTGAATATAGGCCAGGCGCAGTGGCTCATGCCTGTAATCCCAACACTTTGGGAGACTGAGACAAAAGGATCACTTGAGCCCAGGAGTTCGAGACCAGCCTGGACAACATGGTGAAACCCCATCTCTACAAAAAATAAAATTTAGCTGGGCATGGTGGTGTGCACCTGTAGTCCTAGCTACTCAAGAGGCTGAGGTGGGAGGATCACTTGAGCCTGAGAGGTTGAGGCTGCAGTGAGCCATGATTGTACTACTCCACTCCAGCCTGGGTGACAGTGTCTCAAAAAAAAAAAGTGAATATAATATCTCAGGTGGAAAAAGCAAGGTGCAGAACATCATATAGAGAATGCTGCATGTTAAATGATAGAATATAGAAAGGAAAATTAAGAATATACATTTGTATTTGCTTATATTTTCATAGACACTACACAAACATGGAACGTGCTAAGAATTGTTACCTGGAGGAGGCAGGGCTGGTACTGGGGCAAACTGGAAGGGCATTGCAGTCGTAAGACTTTGCTTACTATCTTGTTCATATTGTACCATTTTTTGACCATGTGCATGTTACCTATTCCGAAAATAAAATTTGAATAAAATAATTATATTTCTGTCCTTTTTGGTGAGGAAGAAGTGATCATCTTGTTCAGTGCTGGATTTCTTTTTTTATTTTTGAGACGGAGTTTCGCTCTTGTTGCCCAGGCTGGAGTGCAATGGCACGATCTCGGCTCACCGCAGTCTCTGCCTCCTGGTTTCAAGCGATTCTCCTGCCTCAGCCCCCCGAGTACCTGGGATTACAGGCGTGCACCACCACACCTGCTAATTTTGTATTTTTAGTAGAGACGGGATTTCTCCATGTTGGTTAGGCTGGTCTCGCACTCCTGACCTCAGGTGATCCACCCGCCTTGACCTCCTGAAGTGCTGGGATTACAGGCGTGAGCCACCGTGCCCAGCCCAGTGCTGGATTTCTTATTTAGTAATTAAACAAGTATTTATTGGCAGATAATCTTCCAGGTTCTAGATTGGAGTGACCAAACTCACTCCAAGGGTGTTGTGGATTTCTTGCTTCCACAGGTCAGGGCAGCATTTTTTCATCTCCCTTCATGTGTAGGGGTTAGAATCCAAGTCTCTAGCTTTAGGGGTGCCATTTCTAGGAACCAAGGATAATTCTACAGAATATATCTATGGCCTTTTACCAACCTGCATTCCATAGAGGAAACTTAATCTTTACTCTGTAGCGCTTCACTCAGGTTTACTAAGAGACACAGTCAGACTCGGCCTGTGGCATCATCTTAAAAGAGGGATGATCATAGCATCCAAACTTGCTGGGATGAGAGATGTGTGCTACTGTCCCCAGCCAAATTTTTTTTCAGCTGGTGGGGAATGGGGAAGGGGTGTCGTCAAATCACTTGATTTGTCTATAGTGACCACATGGACTTTGCAGTAGCCCCTCTATCCTTGGTTTTGCTTTCCAAGGTTTAGTCACCTGCAGTCAATTTTGGTCTGAAAATCTTTTTTTTTTTTTTTTTTTTGAGACGGAGTCTCACTCTGTCGCCCAGGCTGGAGTGCAGTGGCGTGATCTCGGCTCACTGCAAGCTCCGCCTCCCAGGTTTATGCCATTCTCCTGCCTCAGCCTCCCGAGTAGCTGGGACTACAGGTGCCCGCCACCACAGCCGGCTAATTTTTATATTTTTCGTAGAGATGGGGTTTCACTGTGTTAGTCAGGGTGGTCTCGATCTCCTGACCTTGTGATCCACCCGCCTCGGCCTCCCAAAGTGCTGGGATTACAGGCGTGAGCCACCATGACCGGTCCCTGAAAATCTTAAGTGGAAAATTCCAGAAATAAACAATTCATAAGTTTTCAATTGCATGCTGTTATGAGTATTAGGAGGAAATCTCACATCCCCCCTGGGACGTGAAATCATCCCTTTGTCCAATGTCTCCACGCTGTGCGTGCTTTCCACCTGCTAGTTATTTCAGATGGACTGTTTTGGTATCACAGTGCTAGTAACAGCCCCAAAGCACAAAAGTAGTGATGCCGGCATGTGGTTGTGGCCTACTTTATTACTACTGTTGTTACTCTCTTACTGTGCCCAATTTATAAATTAACATTCTCATAGGTGTGTATGTGTATAAGGAAAACAATGTATTTAGGGTTCAGTCCTCTCTGCGATTTCAGGCATCCACTGGGGGTCTTGGAACATATCTCCTGAAGACAAGGATGTGGTGCTGCATATTTTTTTCTAAAAGTCGTGAGATAAAACATGCAGTTAGTTTCCTCCATGGGCCCAGCAACAGGAGAACTGTCCCTGACTAGGCTGCTGGCCTCAGTGCATGTGCATGTTTGTAATATGCAGAAAGCTATATCCTTTTTTTTTTTTTTTTTTTTTTTTTTTGAGACGGAGTCTCGCTCTGTCGCCCAGGCTGGAGTGCAGTGGCCAGATCTCAGCTCACTGCAAGCTCCGCCTCCCGGGTTCACGCCATTCTCCTGCCTCAGCCTCCCGAGTAGCTGGGACCACAGGCGCCGCCACCTCGCCCGGCTAATTTTTTGTGTTTTTAGTAGAGACGGGGTTTCGCCGTGTTAGCCAGGATGGTCTCGATCTCCTGACCTTGTGATCCGCCCGTCTCGGCCTCCCAAAGTGCTGGGATTACAGGCTTGAGCCACCGCGCCCGGCCTTTTTTTTTTTTTTTTTTGAGACAGTCTCGCTCTGTCATCCAGGCTGAAGTGCAGTGGTGCGATCTCAGCTCACTGCAACCTCCGCCTCCTGGGTTCAAGTGATTCTCCTGCCTCAGCCTCTTGAGTAGCTGGGATTACAGGTACCTGCCACCAGGCCTGGCTAATTTTATATTTTTAGTAGATACGGGGTTTCGCCATGTTGGCCAGGCTGGTCTCAAACTCCTGACCTCAGGTGATCCTCCCGCCTCAGTCTCCCAAAGTGCTGAGATTACAGGCATGAGCCACTGCGCCCAGCTAGAAAGCTATATACTTCTTTCTCCACTTTGTCTCCTAATCACCATGTGCTTTCTTTTTCCTAACAGAGACATCATTAATCTGGTGGCTCAGGTGGTTCCAATTTATGCTGTTTCCCACCTCTTCGAAGCTCTTGCTGTAAGTATTATGTAGTAGTTCCCTAAGCCCTGTTGTGATCTATGGATTTCTTCTGATGGTGGTAAATTTCAGCTGAGAGGACAGGTCAGGGTAGGTAGGAAGATTGAATATTGTTATCATGTTTTGTTTAGAAGGATACTGTCACCTTATGGGTTTTAGCGTCCGAGTCCCACAGAACTGAAGTGCTCACGAGATGGGAGTGTTTCAGGAGCGCCGACTGATGGAATGCTCTCTGCCTGCAGTGCACGAGCGGTGGCGTTCTGAGGGGGAGTGGAAATCAGAAGGTTGGAGCCATTGTGAATACCGTTGGGTACTACGTGGTTGGCCTCCCCATCGGGATCACGCTGATGTTTGCAACCAAACTTGGAGTGATGGGTAAGCTCTAACCTGTGCAGGCAGGGCTTAGCTGCTCACCAGTCCAGGAAATGACTGTCGGAGCACACAGGCCTTTGACTGAGGCTCACCTCTGAAACTTGGCAACTCACCGACGTCCATTCTGTGTCTTGTTAGAGAGCGCAGACAGCGTTCAGGAGGTGGCCTCCAGCTCTAGCCAGGGCCCCAAGGGTGCATTGTCCTGCCCCTCGCACCCCTGCGGGCGATCTTCCATGCTGACACACTTGAGCACGGATGCCCTTTCTACTCACCTCCTATCCTGAATCATCCAGCCCTCACTTCTCTAAAGGAGGCGTCAGTAGGAAACGCTGAAGAAGCATTCGGAAGCTTCCCTTTTGCATGTTCCATGCTGTTCTTTGGAGACAGCGTGTGATCCCCTGTGGGTGGCTCTGCAGGGCTGAGGCCATCGTAGGCGGTCTGTCCTGCGTGCGTGGGGTGCCGCAGGGTCAGCACTCACGGTGGCCCTGTGCACCCTAGAGCAGCGCCCCGTGTGTTCACCAAGCAGCGTGGCTGGATCCTTGGAGGGCAACGGGTGGCCAGTGCCCTTCTCATCACCCTCATTGCACTCCGCAGCCTCCACCTCCCTCCTTGCACAGCCTTAGCTCTGTGCCTGTGGGTCTCCTCACAAGGCCATGCACGTGGTCGGTGTGAACAGCACAGAAGGAAGAGGGTGGACTTAAGCACTTTCCCACATTTGGAAGAAAAAACGTAATGAACAGCATCTGAAATTACCAGAGCTAATCGTTTTAAAAAGTACAGAAATAAATGACTGCCCAGCTTTGATTTCTAAAATAATAATTTGGAATACATTGGCAGTTAATAAATGATGATATGAAAACCTGGACATTTATCTTTGGGGTGAGTAGTGACCGACTTAAAGCGAGGCTTGTTTTGATCCATTTGTACTTGGCAGGCTCAGAGGTGGAGAGAAGTCAACTGATAGCTACAGGGAACTTCCAGTTCAGTATGTTCCTTTATGTGGCACATTTTTCTCAAGTTCAATAATATTTTAATTAAAAATACAGGAGTTGTTCAAAGAATAGAATTGCCAATGCAAAGTTCATTGGGCTTGCATGATAGTGCAGAAAATTATTTAGCTGAGTTTCTGGTATGATTCATGTTTTGGGTTTGCCATTGCCTAGCTAATACAAATATTATAGGAATCTTAATTTATTTTTATTTTTAAAGTAATGTATTTTATGTAACACAATATATCTAAAATATTATTGCAACAGGCAATCAGTATAAAATATTAAGGAAATACTTTAAATTCTCTTTTTTATGTTATATCTTTTAAGTTTTAAATTGACAAATTATAATTGTTTGCATTTATGGGGTACAGAGTGGTATTTTGATATATGTATAGAATGTGGAACAATTAGATCAAGCTAATTAACATACTTATCACCACTTTTTTTAATGGTGAGACATTTGAAATTTACCTAGTTAATTTGAAATGTACAGTACATTGACTAATCACCTTGGTGTGCAATTGATCTCAAAACTTATTCTTCCTGTCTATCAGAAACTTTGTACCTTAACAAGTCCCTGTTCCCACACCCTCCCCTCCTTGCCACCAGTCCCTGGTAACCATCATTCTACTCTACAGAGTTCAACTTTTTCAGAAGAGGAATCTACTTTATTCCCTTGTTTCATTTTTTACAGATGGGGTCTTGCTATGTTGCCCAGGCTGGTCTCAAACTCCTTGACTCAAGTGATCCTCCCACTTTTGCCTCCCAAGTATCTGGGATTACAGGCATGAGGAACCTGCTTTGAAATATAAATCCATCTATATCCCAGGTGCTGTCCTTGGCTCACCTATTCATTTAACAAAATATATCTAGGCCAGGCACAGTGGCTCATGCCTGTAATTCCAGCACTTTGGGAGGCTGGGGTGGGCGGTTCACTTGAGGTTAGGAGTTCGAGACCAACCTGGGCAACATGGCGAAACCCCGTCTCTACTAAAAGTACAAAAATTAGCCAGGTGTGGTGGTGCGCGCCTGTAGTCCCAGCTACTTGGGAGGCTGAGGCACAAGAATTGCTTGAACTTGGGAAGTGGAGGCTGCAGTGAGCCAAGATGGCACCACTGTACTCTAGCCTGGGCAACAGAGTGAGACTTTATCTTAAAAAAAAAACAAAAACAACTAATTGTGCAAAGTAGAAGAGGAAGTTGAGAATCACTGAAAAGAAATGGTAGGGGCCCTGGGGATATGAGGGCTCTATGAGAAGACTGTAGTCAATCCCTCCACCCACCTATTAGAAGAAAGTGTGGTATGAATTGGTTTTGAGTATTGTATCTCCTATGGTATGGTATGCAGTATACCTACACAAGGTGTCTAGGAGAGCATCAGAATTCTGCAGGTTCTCAGAAGCAACCCCAGGAAATCATAATGACCCTCAGAATCCCTGGGAGACTTTGTAAATATGTAAATTCCTGGACCTTGCCCATGAGATTCTAATAACCATCCTACTTTGGGCTCCTAGGTCGGGTCAAATAGAAATCTTTTAAATGATGTGTGCTAAAATTATTGGAAATCTAATTCATAACTTTCAGATTATAGCTGGAGGTAGCTGGTTATTTCCTGTTTAAGATGGTTTGGGTGAGCTTGTAGTTTCTATGTACTGAGAACACTGGATTTGTAAGTGGAAGCCAGTAGCTTGCTTTTACTAATTTTTTATAGGACTAGCAGGTGGCACAAACTATACTATTCTAAGAGCAGGCTAGGCTGGGCGCAGTGACTCATACCTATAATCCTAGCGCTTTGGGAGGCCAAGGCGGAGGATCACTTGATTCCAGGAGTTGGAGGCTGCAGTGAGCTGTGGTCATGCCACTGCTCTCCAGCCTGGGCAGCAGAGCAAGACCCTGCCTCTAAAAAGCAAACAAACAAACAAACAAAAGGGCAGGTTGGTCATACCTGAAAATGTGATTGGTACTAAGAAAACAGAGCTATAAACCCTGTACCAAATCCATAAACCAGGAACCCAGACTAGGCACCTTAACCCTTACATAGATCTGGACAGCTGTGGAAATCAACCAGGACCAACCAAGCAAGACCAGCAAAGGCTGTGTATTCTCAGCAAGGGTGTTGGCCGCCACCACTTGCATTTGGGCAGAGACTCAAAGGCAGGCAAAGGAGTGGGAAAGCGTCACCGTGGATAAAAGGGGAGGCTGCAGGTGTGCCCTGAGTGGAGGTTGTTGATCTGAGGGATGCTGGAGGTAGCTGACTAGAAATGGGCCTCATGTGATTGGTTAGGGGGGGATGTATTTTACTTTCTCTGGTTGGTTCTAAGTTGGAAGTGCAGACCAAAATTAGGGAAGCTGTCAGTTGCTAATCAAGTCCTGGCCATCTGGGGCCAATCGTTACAGTAAGTTACTGGTTAGCTTCCTGGATTTTCACCAGAGGCAATCTTGCTTCCTGCGAGCCTGATTTAGGGAAGGCTGGCTTCCTGGGTTTATTGTAGATAGGGGGTGGGTTCTTGGGCAGGATACTGCACGTTGTGAGGCATAGGTCTGTTTTTATTACGGTCAGGCCCTTGTCTTTTGGTTATTGTTGAAGCTTTTTGTTCTTCCGTTAGTTTACTATTGACCAAAAAACGTTCCTCACCTGGGGTCTCCCTCTGTGCCCTGTGTGGTGCCTTGAGATCCACAGGGCTTTTCCCGCCATCCGTTCCCACCTGGCCTGCCTTTGGTGTTCTCCAGTCATCTCTGGGTGCCCAGCCCTGCTCTGGAAGCTTCCAGCAAAGTCTGTGTCAGAAGCAAGTTAAGGTCCGAGGTCTGGCAGGAACTCTGAGGGAGAGAACATTAGTAATTTATATGGCTAGTGATTTCTGCTTTTTTTTTTATATGTTAGTCCCCTTTTTTGAGGAAACTAGGGCAGAAGTAGTTGGTCCTGGGAAATTTTAATTTCCTTGTAACTGGCATTTTTCTTAATATTCAAGCATCATAATCAGTAAGGCTAAAAATATCCTCTGAATATTTGTTCCGAAATCCTGAACCAAAAGAGATGGCCCTTTTGGGGGTGGCCTCAGGGAGTACTGGGCTTTCCAGCACCTTCTGGAACCTTCTGGAAGCCCGAGGAGGAGCAGGGTAGAGGTCTGTGGCCCACTGTGGGCTCCACCTCAGCCATGAAAGCAGATATTAAGTATGGCTGATAGAAGTGAGATAGACAAAACATACTCCCCAGGGGCAGCCGGTTTTCTATGGAATTAACTTCTATTAAATATTTCTATTTCTAGGTCTGTGGTCAGGGATCATCATCTGTACAGTCTTTCAAGCTGTGTGTTTTCTAGGCTTTATTATTCAGCTAAATTGGAAAAAAGCGTGTCAGCAGGTAACTATGTTCATTCTGTCCCGGTAAAGGTTCCTCTCCTAGAAAAACAGGATCTGATCTGGCTCTCCCTTTTTTCTTTCGGAAAGTTCTTTTCTCATTTTCTTTATTCTTATCTCACAAATACTATTTTTCTTGTTGTTTTAACTAGACAGTTCAGATGTGAAGGGCCAGATGACCCCGGCTTTATCCATTCCCAGAAAAACAGGGGGCTCCTTTCTTCCTTGTCTCCCATGCCAGGCTGCCACCCTTGTGCAGGAAAATCCAATTTCCGGACAAGAATTATAACTGGAGAGAAAGGCGCGATGCATCAAAGTCATCCTGATGTCGTTTTTATGATTACCAAATGTTTTGTTAAGGTGCTTGTGTGCATCCTTCCCTTCAACTTTCTAGGGTCAGTGTGAGGTCTAGAAATAGGTGGTAGTAAAATGAAATGAGTCGAGGTACGGTGGCTTATACCTGTAGTCCCAGCTATTCAGGAGGCTGAGGCGGGAGGATCGCTTGAGCCCAAGAGTTCGAGGCTGCGGTGAGCTGTGATTGCACCACTGCACCCCAGCCTGGGTGATGGAGCGAGACCCTGTCTCTACAAATAAAAATTAAAAAAAAAAAAAAAAAAAAAGAGATAAAGTAAAAAGAAGGGAGAGTTCCAAATGATCTTGGTCCCTCTCTTGTCCCTGTCTCCCTCACCCTGTACTGTTCCCATGCCACCTTCCCTCTCATGGACCCCATTTCAACCTTTTCTGTTTCCTTTTTCTTAAGAGACAGGCTCTCACTCTGTCACCCAGGCTGGACTGTAGTGGCAGGATCACAGCTTGCTGGAGTCTTAACCTCCTGGGCTCAAGTGATCCTCCTGTCTCAGCCTCCCGAGTAGTTGGGAATACAGACATATGCCACCATGCCTGGCTGGGTTTTTTTTTGTTTTTTGTTTTTAATTTTTTAGTTGAGATGGGGTCTTGCTGTGTTGCGCAGGCTGGCCTTGAATTCCTGGGCTCAAGCAATCCTCCCTCCTCAGCCCCCCAAAGTGCTGGGATAACTGGTGTGAGCACTGAGCCTGGTCCCATTTCAATCTGTATGAAAGATGACCTGTGAATAAGAGGAGCTTCAGCTGTACATGCCAATTAAGGAAAATGGCTTGGCTTTTCCTAAACTAGACAGTCAAGTAAAATACCTTATTAACACCATCGTGAAGCCTGAAGGACTGACTGAGTTTCATTTTCCAGGCTCAGGTACACGCCAATTTGAAAGCAGACGTGGCTCGGAGTGGGAATTCCGCTCTCCCTCAGGACCCGTTTCACCCAGGTATGATATGACTCCCTCAGCCCTTGGATAGGGCTGTCTAGGTGGGACTGGAGGGGCTGTTCGTGAGACACAGCTAGATTTGCTGCTATGAGCTCTTACTTAAATAGGCCAATAGTGTTTCAGAAACACATGATAAAGTCAAGTAACAACCAATTCAAGGTAAACTGACTTCAAGTTTATTTACTTTAATTCCACACATTAGTAGACTGCTATAGATGACTGAAAGCTCCCCAGTGCCTCCCCTAATTTCTGCAAGCACTTTCCAGGCATTTCCAACACTTGGAGATACTGTGCTTCTACCATAGCTTGGAAACTGACATTTGTTTGTTTTAATGGGGTCCTTGCTGTTCATCGGGCAGACACTTGTGGACTTTAAACAGGTTATTTGCTTGGACCTTTGCTTGTGATGCACATCATGCAAATGTGGTTATGGTTTTCTTCAGTCAGTTAAGTAATCCCCGTCCCCCGATTCCTGGCCCGTTAGGCAGTTAGCCACCCACTCCCAGTAATCCTTGCTCCTTTATCATTTAAACCCTTTGATTTCATAGACTGTCTGATATGCTGTCAATGGTCAATTGTGTTGTTTCTGCCAGTTTTCATTCATGTTGTCTAGGCTCCTGTGCTGTGTGTCTGGTTATCTTTGATTTTAATTTAAATTAATTTTTTAAAATAAAAAAAAATTAGGCCGGGCACAGTGGCTCACGCCTGTAATCCCAGCACTTTGGGAGGCCGAGGTGGGCGGATCACAAGGTCAGGAGATCAAGACCATCCTGGCTAACACGGTGAAACCCTGTCTCTACTAAAAATACAAAAAATTAGCCGGGCGAGGTGGCGGGCGCCTGTAGTCCCAGCTACTCGGGAGGCTGATGCAGGAGAATGGCGTGAACCCGGGAGGCAGAGCTTGCAGTGAGCGGAGACTGTGCCACTGTACTCCAGCCTGGGCGACAGAGCGAGACCCATCTCAAAAAAATAAATAAATAAAATAAAAAAAATTTTAAAAGTTTTTTTTAAATAGAGACAGGGTCTCACTCTGTTGCCCAGGCTGGTGTGCAGTGGTACCGATGGTAGCTCACTGCAGCCTCTACATCTTGGGCTCAAGCGATCCTCCTGCCTTGGCCTCCCAAAGCAGTGGGATTACAGGCATGAGCCACCACACCTGACCTGGTTATCTTTGATTATATTCCAGACTTTATATTTGAAAATTGTTCACAGAAGTAACTTCAGCCTGAAAGGATGTTGTCTATTTGTCTTCAGAGAGGATTTTCTTTTGCTTCTTTTGGACACTGAGGGTGACCAGCAGTCTAGGGCAATCTTGGAAATGGAGCTTTCTGCAGCATCCAGCCGACCTGAAGGTGTTCAAGGCTTGGTTTACTTCTTCTGGTTCATGCTTTTTTTTTTTTTTTGAGATGGAGTCTTGCTCTGTCGCCCAGGCTGGAGTGCGGTGGCGTGATCTCTGCTCACTGCAAGCTCCGTCTCTCGGGTTCAAGCGATTCTCCTGCCTCAGCTTCCTGAGTAGCTGCGATTATAGGCACGTACCACCACACCTGGCTAACTTTTGTATTTTTAGTGGATGTGGGGTGTCACCATGTTGGTCAGGCTGGTCTCGAACTCCTGACCACAAGTGATCTGCCCTCCTCGGCCCCCCAAAGTGCTAGGATTACAGGTGTGAGCCACCGCACCCAGAGTGGTTCATCCTTAAGTCTTGGATGCAGCCCTTTGGGGTTCTAACCTCAAATACAGAAGGCTTGCCAGAGCCTGATTCTTGGTAGGTACCCAAGTCCTCAAAGCCCTGATCAGTGTCTCCGTCACGTGATCTGGATGTAGCTGTCCCTGACCTGCATCCTCTGATCTCTCTGATCTGAATGAACTCTGATCCGAGGCAGCCCTAGAGGCTGGGCGGCCCCTCTGGGTTTCCTTTATCCCCTGGACCTTGCCCTGGTGACTCTTCATTACATCGTTTGCATTCTGATGCCTTCAAGATGATATTTAATTTGTTTTATTCAGATTCTACAATGATCTTCAGGGAAGGGTTGGTCGATGTTTTCCACCATCTTACCAGTTTCCCTGATTTGTGAAACCTGCCTGACAATAGCACTTATCTCTGTTGCCAGGCTGGAGTTCAGTGGCTTCTCACTGCAACCTCTACCTCCCAGGTTTAAGTGATTCTCCTGCCTCAGCCTCCCGAGTAGCTGGGATTACAAGTGTGTGCCACCACGCCCGGCTAATGTTTGTATTTTTAGCAGAAACCAGGTTTCACCATGTTGGCCAGAATTTTCTTGAACAACTCAAGTGATCCACCTGGCTCAGCCTCCCAAAGTGCTGGGATTAGAGGTATGAGTGCTGGGATTACAGGGATTACAGGCATGAGGCATGAGTGCTGGGATTCCAGGGATTCCAGGCGTGAGCCACTGCACCCGGCCTAACAATGGCACTTACTTCATACTACCCCTACTGGGGTTGAGAAGCACCTAGGACTGCCTGACCAGGGAAAGCATTTTGTTAAGAGTGAGCTGATATGACTCTGTTCAAAATGATTTTCTTTCAGAACTCTGAGGATATTGCTACATTCCTAACATTCATCCACTTATGCTCATTAGGAAGTGGGATGGCCAAGCTTATTCTTGTGCCATTATGTAATCTGCCTTCATTTTAGGATATTTTCTTCTTATTATTCCTTTTTTTTTTTTTTTTTTTTTTTGAGATAGGGTCTTGTTCTGTCACGTAGGCTGGAGTGCAGTGGTGCAATTATAGCTCACTGCAGTCTCAAAACTCCTGGGCTCAAGCAATCCTCCCATTTTAGCCTCCCGAGTAGCTGGGTTTACAGGTGCGTGCCACTATGCTCAGCTAACCCTTTAATATTTTTGTAGAGACCAGGTCTTGCTTTGCAGCCCAGGTTGGTCTTGAACTTCTGGATTCGAGCAATCCTCCTGCTTTAGCCTCTCAAAGTGTTGGGATTACAGGTGTGAACCACCATGCCTGGCCTATTACTCTGACTGTTCTGAAGTGTCTTGACACTAAGTCTAGATGTGAGTCATTATCTGCTTGAAACTGTGAAGGAGAAGCTTTCCCCTTGCCCTCCGATGGTTCACTGAAAAATCAACTTATAATAAGGCTGATCAATAAAAGACATACAAATGTATTCAACCATGCACAAGGGAAGAATCACAGTGATTACCCAACCTCGTAGTGAGGCCCAACACGCATATAACCAACTTTCAGAGGGGAGAGAGGAGATGGGGCATTTGGTGCTTCTGTTGAGGGATAGTAAATGATTACCAGGGAAAATGAATGGACATTTGGCAGAATGAATCAGTTGGGGGCAGGGTGGAGAGATTGGTTCTCTTTGGAAGTCGAATGAACCTGAGAGACTGGCATTATTTTGTGAAAGGTTTGGCAATCATTCTTCTTGGTGGGTTTGTCTGGCTTTTATGTAGGAGGGGGAAATGTCTCTTTCAAGGCCTGTTGATCTCTAAGGAGTTTTTAATTTAAAATACTCATTATAGGAGGGAGCCATATCTTGGGGTTGAAATTCCCTGCACTCCTTCAATACTTAGTAGGCCCTTTGATGTGAACAGTCACATCTTTCTCCCATTCTGTGAATAGCCTTGTATTCTTTCTTCCTTTCTTTTTTTTTGGACACTAGGTCTCTCTCGGTCACTCAGGCTGGACTGCAGTATTACAATCATAGCTCACTGCAGCCTCGGGACTATAGGCATGCGCCATCATGCCCAGTGAAGTTTTTGTTTGTAGAGATGAGGTATCACTATGTTGCCCAGGCTGGTCTTGAGCTTCTGGGCTCAAGGGATCCTCCCACCTCAGCCTCCCAAAGTGTTGGAATTACAGGCGTGAGCCATCACACCCAGCCTTGAATTATTTCTTAGGTTGTTTCTCCTTGTGTTTTGTTCTGAAATGCTTATTAAATTGGTGTTGGCTCCTTGAAAATTTCCCCTGTGAATCTTCTTTTTTTTTTTTTTTTGGAGACAGAGTTTTGCTCTCGTTGCCCAGGCTAGAGTACAATGGCACCATCTTGGCTCACTGCAACCTCCGCCTCCTGGGTTCAAGCGATTCTCCTGCCTCACTGCCTCAGCCTCCCGAGTAGCTGGGATTACAGGCATGCGCCACCATGCCCGGCTAATTTTCTATTTTTAGTAGAGAGACGGGGTTTCTCCATATTGGTCAGGCTGGTCTCTAACTCCCGACCTCAGGTGATCTGCCTGCCTCAGCCTCCCAAACTGCTGGGATTACAGGCATGATGGCTCTTGCCTGTAATCCCTGTGAATTTTAATGGAGAGGGCTTCCCTGTGAAGTTTAATGGAGAGGGCTACCTTATTTCTCTAGCTCCTGGGAGAGCGCTCCCTGGAGCACCCAAGCCAGCCCCGGTAGGATCATCGGTGTTTGTGAAAGAGTGAGTGGAGAGGCACTCTGGGATAGGATTTCTTTTATTTATTCACTGTAGCAATAGCGTCCTGAATTAACTTTCTCTCAGCTACTAGCACATATTCCTTTTATACATAGCCCTTTATACAAATGAAAAAAAAAAATCCCTTTTAAGCTGCTAAGGTCCTTTTTCCTCCCAGGGTGCCCTGAAAACCATGAAGGAATTTTAATGAACGATGTTGGAAAGACGGGCGAGGCTCAGTTGGATCAGCAGATGCGCCAAGAAGAACCTTTGCCGGAACATCCACAGGACAGTGCGAAGTTGTCCAGGACACAGCTGGTGCTGCGGCGAGGGCTTCTGCTCCTGGGGGCCTTCTTAATCTTGCTGGTGGGGATTTTAGTGAGATTCTATGTCAGAATTCAGTGACGTGGCAGGAAAGAAAGTCAGGTCAAGTGATGCTTTTGAGCTTACACACAATTCACAGGCCCACCAGTGACAATTTACTTTGAGTTAATGTCATTCAAGTGTGCCCATGGATTCTGAGGGTTGGGAATGCAAAGATACATTTCTCTAAAAAAAGAAAAAGCAACTAAGGTTAAAAGCTATATTGTGGCCCAAGACACTGTCTGAAAGATGACATGAGTAATATAATTCACCACTATCTGAACCAAGGACCAATGTGCTGACTGCATTGGCCAATGGCTTTGCTATTTTTTTAGACACAAACCCAGAAACTCAGTGCTTAAGAATTCATACTGCCTGAATTATGTAAAATATATTTTACAATATATCTTTCCTTGGGCCTTAGATTACTATTCACTGGGCAAATGGTATTTGTTTTTGTTTTAATTTTTTTTTTTGATAGACGGAAGTCTTGCTCTGTCACGCAGGGTGGAGTACAGTGGTGCGATCATAGCTCACTGCAGCCTCAAACTCCTGGGCTTCAAGCAATCCTCCTGTGTCAACCACCAGAGTAGCTGAGACTTCAGGGGTGTGCCACCATGCCCAGCTGGCATTTGTTAATCTTCATTTGAGGTCTAGATCTAGGCACTGTGGGCACTGAAAAACAGTCAGGAAATCTTTGGAGCTGTGGAAATCCAGACAAGGACTGATAATTCCTGGCAGGGGTGTGTGCGTGACCTACTGCAGCCTCAACCTCCTGGGCTCAAGTGATCCTCGCATCTCAGCCTCCTGAGTAGCTGAGACCACAGGCGTGTGCCACCATGCCTAGCTAATTTTTTATTTTTTGTAGAGACGGGGTCTACCTGTTTTTTCCCAGGCTGGTCTTGAATTCCTGGGATCAAGCGATCCTTCCACCTTGCCCTCCCAAAGTGTTGGGATTATAGGCGTGAGCCACCACGCCTGGCCAGAGGACAAAATTTTAATAAAGGTCTTAGCTTAAGTAGTAATCCTACTTCATTAACCTTCCTGGGGCGGGGTACGCACCGATAATTCAGCAAGCCCCAGTACATACTAAGTATGCTCAGTGCTGTGAAAGTGGATTACACCAAATTAAGTCATTCTTATCACACCCAATTAAAAGTCAAGAAGCCAGGGATAAAAGCACCCCAGGCACATAACTTTAATCTAGTAATGTAATTCTCTGCACATCCAGCTGGTGAAACTGCCTGCTGTAAGCTGAGACCAGCTTTATCCATAACTGCTGAGATAACTTGCTGAAGCTCTAGGAATAATTTCGCCTGCCCGGTTGCTCACCAGTTGTAGCTTGCCAGCTCCCAGGACCCTTCCCGGTGCCAATAAACTTTCTCAAAGAGCTATACTGACATTTCTTTTGATAAAACCTCCAGCCTTCTGTGCTGTTCCGACATACCGAGGACCACCTGGTCTACATGGATGCCCTGAACTGCAATTCTTTCTTCCCAAATAAAGCATTAAATGGAGATTTGCCTGTACACGTTTGACTTAGTGCTAGGATGGATATAATGCTCTAGGCATGGCCTTTTCCTGAAATAACAAAATCAGAAAAGTTACCCGCTTTGAGTAAAAAACACCCACGTGCTGATTTTGGTTGGGGCCACCTTAAGGTATCTCTACCCTTAGTGCCTTCTTCTTGGGCCACGAGGCCCAGTCTCCAGGAAGGCAGATAAAGGCTTGCACTGTAGCCCTCGGGGTTGGGCCTGGGGGCAGGGGGCAGACACTGCAGAGGCCCCTCCCCAGCTCCTCGTCAGGAACTCTCGAACCCTGTCACCATTCCCCTCGCACAGGACTCCCTGTCCTTCCCCTTGCCAGGTAGGGCAGGGACTCCCCGGGGATGAGAGGAGTTTCCTTCAATCAACAGCCACAGATAGCGGCTGGTCCCACCCCGGGCCGTCAGGAGCAGGGAGGCTGGGGTGTCTGGGTGTCTGGCCGCCAGGAGCAGGGAGGCTGGGGTGTCTGCGAGACCGGACCCCTCCTCTCCCGGAAACACCTGAACCCGCAGCAAGCCCAGGCCAGGAGAAGCATGAAAAGCGCTAGACCCGTACTCCGCGGGGGAGGATGGAATCACCAGCTCCGTCCTGTCTGCCCACCCTCTAGGCATTTTGCTCTTCCAACGTGACCCACAAACTCTCCGGATAAAAACCCGTGTCATCCAAAAGCACATGAGGGTCCTCCCCCGCAGGGACCCCTTCCCCGAGCCCCCTTCAGCCCCCAAGGGCCCTCCCGGTCCCCTCCCGCAGGGTTCTGCGGGCGGCATCATTGCACTGGGCGTCTGGAGAGGGTCCGGGTCCGGGCTGGGTGGGGCCGAGCCGTCCTCCGCCCTTCTTCCCCGCGCTGCGGTCCCGCGCCCGCGCCGCCGCCAGCCGCTCCCCGCCTCCGCACGGAGGCCCCCGCGGCCGCCGAGCTCCCAGCCGCCGCCAAGGGCCGGCCCCCATAGCGGCCCGGGCCCTCGGATGGCGCGACCGCCTGCGGGGCCTGCGGGGCGCTCTGCCCCCGAACCTGCAGCAGGCGGCAGCCGAGCTGGCGGCGCTGGCGGGTCCCGTGGTGAGTGCGGCTGCCCCGCGCCCAGCCCGACGCCTCCTGAGCAGCTGCCGCGCGGGGGTGGGCGCGGGCTTCCAGGAGGGAGGGCGGCTGTGAACGCGCCTTGCTTTCTGCGCCTCCGCAGTTTCTTGCTCAGTTGATCATCTTGCTCATCAGCCTCGTCAGCTCCATCTTCTGTGGACATCTGGGCAAGGTCAAGCTGGACGCTGTCACGCTCGCCGTCACGGTGGGTGCCTGATTTCGCCCCTGTAGCAGCTAACGGGCGGCCAAGGTTTAGGATTTGAGCGGTGTCCCCGGGCGCTGTGGCTCACGACGGTAATCCCGGTCCTTTGGGAGGCCCAGGTGGGAGGATCGCTTGAGCTCAGGAGTTCGAGACCAGCCTGGGCAGCATAGCAAGACCCCCGTCTCTACTAAAAATACAAAAATCTACTAAAAATACAACAATTATCCCGGCGTAGTGGCACCGCCTGTGGTCTTAGCTACTCGGGAGACTGAGAGAGGAGGATCGCTTGCGCCCAGGAGATGGAGGCTGCAGTGGGCTGAGATCGCACCACTGCACTCCAGCCTTGGCAAGAGAGCAAGACCCTGTTTCAAAATCGAACACACAAGGCCGGGCGCGGTGGCTAACTCCTGTAATCCCAGCCAGCACTTTGGGAGGCCGAAGTGGGCGGATCACCTGAGGTCAGGAGTTCGAGACCAGCCTGGCCAATATGGCAAAACCCCCCTCTACTAAAAATACAAAAATTAGCCGGGTGTGGTGGCGGGCACCTGTAATCCCAGTTATTCGGGAGGCTGAGGCACGAAAACCGCTTGAACCCAGGGGCCTGAGGTTGCAGTGAGGCGGAATTTTGCCACTGCACTCCAGCCTGGGTAACAGAAGGAGACTCCGTCTCAAAAAAAAAAAAAAAAAAAAAAAAAAAAGGAAAGAAAAAACATCAATTTGAATTGTATCATGTCTTATGCATCTTCGTTTACAGGTCTGGCACTGACCTGTGGCTTACCATTACCTGATTAGATTTGGAAGGAGCTTGTGTCAATACTTAGAAAAGGGTAAAACTGAAAAAACTGCACTTTTTTCTATTATGAAATTCAATCAGCAGACTTTTAGGTAATTTAGGTTGTTTGCCATTAATTGGATTACACAGTGCATTCAGCTCCTACCCTTTTACCCTTGTGGAAAAGCCTCTCCCTCGGGTTGAAATCACGCTTCCTGGGACGTCTCTTCCCTGGCTTTTGTTAGTGATGTGGAAAGTTGCTTCTTCCTGCGCGTTTCATCCAGGATTTCAGAGAACGTGGGAAACACTTCTGCTGGTGATGGTAGGCGGCTTTCCCCAGTCTCGGAAAATGTCCCCTGTGTCCCTGTGAGGTGGGAACACACCCTAAGAACACGGAGGGCCACCGGAGCTTCTCATTTGGCTTCATGGGAGAGAAGACCTTGCCAGGTAGAATCAGTCACATTTTATTTACAGGTCTGTTATTTGGTGAGCTAATTGGGTTAAGGGACATTTTTGCTTCCTTTGAAACTTTAGACTGGGGCTCTAGGAAGAGGCACGAAGGCAGAGGAGATTCGTATACATGGCTGGTGGGGACATTTCCTGCTGTGTCCCTGCAGGGCCCAAGATTGGGGTCCAACTTTTCTGATCACTGCTTGCCAACCATCACTGCGCCCAGGGCGCTCCCTCGGTTCACTTCTGAGCCGTCTGTCACTCCTTCCTGTGGATGACGTCTAATGGCCAGTCAGCTGCCTCGTTCAAGAGGACTCAGCACCTGGGTGTCCATTCTTCCCCTCTCCCCGCTTCTGCTGTCATCCCTGGGGCGTGGGCCCGACCCTGTGGCCCACAGTTACAGCTTTCGTTTTTGAAAGGGTTCAAGACCATGTAATTGGCTGAAAATGTCCACATAGGTACAATGACCAGATAGCCACCTACTCTTAACCTAGGATTGAGAAACTGGGGACTTCACCTGGAGACTTCGGGGTCTTGTTTTAAGAGCAGGAGGATGCACTCGGTGTTAACGAAGTCGGCCCAGTAGGGAAAGCAGCACAGCATGAGGATGAGGACTCCTCTCTGCATATGATCCCCACGCGCTTGAGGTTCTTGCCTCCAAAGGACTTGAGGAAACAAATGCGCTGCTAACAGCATATGCCGGGCAGGCCGAGGCTGGAGGCCCGCACCACAAGCAGCCCCTCCCAGGGGTGCCCGCCCTCCGCCCCGGCAGCCCTGTTTCCCATCATCTGCTCCCGCCCTCCCCACCAACAGCTGACAGCATTGGGGGAGCTTCTGAGCCAGGGACAACCAGTGAGCCAGCTGGCCCCTGTGGCATTTGACACGTGTCCTGGGACAATGTGTCCCTGCTCCCAGAAGCTGGGACTGTTAACATGGAGGGTATAGGCAGCAGAAACTGAAGCTTAGAAGAGAGTTTTCAACATTGGGGGAGACAGATGCTGCAGGAGAGCGTGTGCTGTGGTAGAAGGTGAAGTTGTGGGGGACTCTGAGGGCCAGGGATACTGGGGGAGGGTGCAGAGGAAGAAAAGCACACACTGTAGGCTGAGAAGGGCGGCTAGGGAGGCGGCAAGAATTTTGGGGGGTGGTAGGTCATGGAGGCCAAGGCAGTGCTCTAGAAAGCAGGGATGGCTAAGTGGATTAAGGACGGCCAAGGGCTTACCTGAGGATTTTGTCACAGGAGGCTGGGAAGAGGCCAGGCCCAGTAGGCTGGGCAGGAACGAACAAGGCATCAATGGGAGCTGAGTCAGGAGTACAGGCCAGGCCTGAGTACAAAGAACACCTTCAAGAAGCTTGGCTTGAAGGAGGCCAAGAGAGAAGGAGGGGTGGTGGTGAGGGAGGGCGATTTTAGGGTATGGGAGACCAGACTGGGAGAAACAAAGGACAAAATGCCCTTGAGCAGGTGGCCCCAGAGGACAGCACTAGTCAAGCTGACTCTGCTGTTTTTTTGTTTTTGTTTTCGTTTTTTTGTTTTTTTTGAGATGAAATCTCGCTCTGTCGCCCAGGCTGCAGTGGTGAGATCTTGGCTCACTGCAACCTCTGCCTCCCAGATTCAAGCGATTTTCCCAATGCAGCCTCCTGAGGAGCTGGGATTACAGGCGTCCACCACCATGCCTGGCTAATTTTTGTATTTTTAGTAGAGACAGGGTTTCACCATGTTGGTCAAAATTGTCTCGACAACTTAGTTGAAATACCACTGCCCTCGGTCCAAGGCGGAGGAGTGCAGAGCCCCTTATACGGAACGGGCTACAGAAATTCCTGTGGTTAGGCTGGGCACAGTGGCTCACGCCTGTAATCCCAGCACTTTGGGAGGTTGAGGCGGGCAGATCACCTGAAGTCAGGAGGTCGAGACCAGCCTGACCAACATGGCGAAACCCCGTCTCTACTAAAAATACAAAAATTAGCCAGGCGTGGTGGTGGGTGCCTGTAGTCCCAGTTACTTGTGAGGCTGAGGCAGGAGAATCTCTTGAACCCGGTAGGCAGAGGTTGCAGTGAGATATTCTAGGAAGAGAACAGACTAATTTTTAAGATAACTGTGAAAACAAAATTTTTTACCTTTAGACAAATGTTCATAATATAAAAGGATTAACAAAAGTGTTTTTTTAAATAAAAGAACATTTATTTATATTCCACCTTGTTCCACAAATAATTTGAACTAGTTTACACAAACACTTCCCTAAAAGAAGGATAAATAAATAGCTGTTAGAATTGGGTCAAAGAAACATGGGTGGAAAAGCCTGGAGCCGGGGGTGAGTTGGCATGGGATAGCCTGGAAATCGTGCTGAGGTTTTTTTTTTTTTTTTTTTTTGAGACAGAGTCTTGCTATGTCGCCCAGGCTGGAGTGCAGTGGCCGGATCTCAGCTCACTGCAAGCTCCGCCTCCCAGGTTTACGCCATTCTCCTGCCTCAGCCTCCCTAGTAGCTGGGACTACAGGCGCCCGCCACCTCGCCTGGCTAGTTTTTTGTATTTTTTTTTTTTAGTAGAGACGGGGTTTCACCGTGTTAGCCAGGATGGTCTCGATCTCCTGACCTCGTGATCCGCCCGTCTCGGCCTCCCAAAGTGCTTCGATTACAGGCTTGAGCCACCACGCCTGGCCCGTGCTGAGGTTTTATGGAAGCCTTGATTTGCAGGAAGGGCAGGCCTGGGTACTGAGCCTCAGCCACATTCCCCTTGACCCTCAGAAGGCAGACACCACGACATGGAGCGTGGTAATCTGGGCAGCTTGCCGCCAGAGACAGAGTAGCAATTTTTGTTCCATCTTTTATAAAGTTATGTGTTGTAAGCAAGAGGTCTAACGTCAGAGCTGAGTTTGATAAAAGCTTGTGACAGCGGAAGCCGCAGGGCCCAAGGCCGTGGTCCTGCTTACATGGTTAGACTGAGTCCTGGGGGAGAGTAACACATTTCTCATTTCTTTGTGCTGGGAGTATTCAATATCTTCTTTTCTTTTATTTCTTTCTCCTTTTTTTTTTTTGAGACAGGATCTTGCTCTGTCACCCAGACTGGAGTGCAGTGGCACAATCACAGCTCACTGCAGCCTCAAACTCCTGGGCTCAAGTGATTGTCCCACCTCAGCCTTCTAAGTAGCTAGAACCACAGTTGTGTGCTACCATGTCCAGCTAATTTTTTTTTTTTTTTTTTTAAGACAGAGTCTTGCTCTGTTATCGAGGCTGGAGTGCAGTGACTCACTGCAACTTCCATCTCCCGGATTCAAACGATTCTCCTGCCTCAGCCTCCTGAGTAGCTGGGACTACAGGCATGTGCCAACACACCCGGCTAATTTTTGTATTTTTAGTAGAGACAGGGTTTCACTGTATTGGCCAGGCTGGTCTCGAACTCCTGACCTCAGATGATCCACCTGCCTCAGCCTCCCAGAGTGCTGGGATTACAGGTGTGAGCCACAACACCCGGCCAATGTCCAGCTAATTTTTAAAAGTTTTGTAGAGATGGGGTCTGGTCATGTTGCCCAGGCTTCAGTATCCTTCCAGCTATTTGAAGCTATCTGTGATTGTTTACTGCAGTCATCCTGCAGTGTGGTGAACACAGGCCTATTCCTTCTGTTTAACTGTAACTTTGTATCCTTTAACACATCTCTTCCTATCCCCTCCATCCCCCTTACCCTCCTATGTGACTTTTTTTTTTTTTTTTTTTTTGAGACAGAGTCTTGCTCTGTTGCCCAGGCTGGAGTGCAGGGGCACTGTCTCGGCTCACTGCAACCTCTGCCTCCCAGGTTCAAACAATTCTTGTGCCTCAGCTTCCTGAGTAGCTGGGACTACAGGTACGTACCACCACTCCCAGCTAATTTTTGCAGTTTTAGTAGAGATGGGTTTTGCCATGTTGACTGGGCTGCTCTTGAATGCCTGGCCTCAAGTGATCTGCCCACCTCGGCTTCCCAAAGTGCTAGGATTACAGATGTGAGCCACCGTGCCCAGCTCTGTGTGACTTTTTAAAACACAAAACTTTTCATAAATTGGCATGCTTTACCTTTCTGTTTTCCTGGCAGTCTAAGGGGTTTGGGAGCTTTAGTCATGCCCCTCTCCCCTGGCTGGAATTCAGTGTCGCAGTGTGAGTGTATCCTCATTGTGCCACAGCCCTCCTGGGGCACGGTTAGATGGAGACCCCGGTCTCGTGGGGTCCCACTGGGCAGTGTGTGTGTGGCCTGTCAGTTACATGGTGGGGGCTGGAGTTTGTGTTCACCAGGCCAGAGTCGTGGTCAGTGAAGAAGCTAACTCACATCACCACTAACTGTGAGACCCAGGACGCAAGCGAGGGTCTTTCAGCCCCTCACCCTGCGAGCCTCTTGCGCCCTACTTGCAGGCTACACTATGTGGCCTTGATTGTCAGGGACTGGGTGAAGTCTGGTCAAGAGGGTGACACAACTAGTCCTGTTCCTCACTGGAGGACTAAAGCTTGGGATCTGGGAATCAACCCAAATGTCCATCAGTGACAGACTGGATTAAGAAAATGTGGCACACTGGCCGAGCGCGGTGGCTCACGCCTGTAATCCCAGCACTTTGGGAGGCCGAGGCGGGCGGATCACAAGGTCAGGAGATCGAGACCACGGTGAAACCCTGTCTCTACTAAAAATACAAAAAATTAGCCGGGCGCGGTGGTGGGCGCCTGTAGTCCCAGCTACTCAGGAGGCTGAGGCAGGAGAATGTTGTGAACCCGGGAGGCGGAGCTTGCAGTGAGCCAAGATTGCGCCACTGCACTCCAGCCTGGGCGACAGAGCAAGACTCTGTCTCAAAAAAAAAAAAAAAAAAAAGAAAAAAGAAAATGTGGCACATATACACCATGGAATACTATGCAGCCATAAAAAGGATGAGTTTGTATCCTTTGTAGGGACATGGATGCAGCTGGAAACCATCATTCTCAGCAAACTATCGCAAGAACAGAAAACCAAACACCGCATGTTCTCACTCATAGGTGGGAATTGAACAATGAGATCACTTGGACTCGGGAAGGGGAACATCACACACCAGGGCCTATCATGGGGAGGGGGGAGGGGGGAAGGATTGCATTGGGAGTTATACCTGATGTAAATGACGAGTTGATGGGTGCTGACAAGTTGATGGGTGCAGCACACCAACATGGCACAAGTATACATATGTAACAAACCTGCACGTTATGCACATGTACCCTAGAACTTAAAGTATAATAAAAAAACAAAAACAAAAAAAACCTTGGGATCTGAAACCAGACGTCCCAGACTCAGGTCACCATCTGAGTAACTTGGGCAAGGGACATACACTTTGACACACTTTGTGTAACTCATGCTACCCAATACAAAAAATGAGATGAGTGGTCCTAGCACCATGTGCATGAGGGGCTTAGGGCAGTGCCTGGCACATAGTATGTGCTCAATAGAAGTTTGCTGTTATTATTACTAACTGCACATCCTACTGGCAGATCGGGGCATCACCTTTAGATATTAACCACAACCTAACTTTATTTATTTTTTATGTTTTTGAGACAGGGTCTCACTCTGTCACCCAGGTTAGAGTGCAATGGCATGATCTTGGCTCACTGCAGCCTTCACCTCCTGGGTTCAAGCGATTCTCCTGCCGCAGCTTCCCAAGTAACTGGGATTACAGGTGCCTGCCATCATGCCCGGCCAATTTTGTATTTTTAGTAGAGATGGGGTTTCACCATGTTGGTCAGGCTGGTCTCAAACTCCTGACCACAAGTGATCTACCCGCCTTGGCCTCCCAAAGTGCTGGGATTACAGGCGTGAGCCACCGCACCCGGCCCACAACTAAACTGTAAATATAGAAATTATAATGTGCTATACTGTTTAAGAAAAACTAGGTTTCATATTTCCCCAGTTGACACAAGGTGGTTATCGTCCTTTAGTCAGAAGGTACATTTTTGTTCAATAATCAATAAGGATAGATGTAGACACCCATTTGATCTAAAATACAGCATACATTTAAAATACAGCCTTGGCCTCCATGACCTCCCGCCCCCCGAAGTTCTTTAGAGACAAGCTTGTTGAGGTTCCTCCATAAAGAGGGAGCTGTCTGATGTGACCCTGAACTGGCGTCGCCTCCAGAACATCTGCCACACCGGCTCTGTTGTTGCAGGTGGCGAAGGTTACTGGGATTGCAGTTGGCATCGGCCTAGCCTCAGCTCGTGACACCTTCATGTCTCAGGTGAGGACCACCCTCCCCCACATACCGTTTTTTGGCAGTTACCTTTCATAATAGAGACTTTCTAGGACCATCCACCCTATGGGTTTTGTTGCGTTTTATTTGTCAAATACAGATGGTCCCCGACTTCGATTTTTCAGCTTCGCGATGGTACAACAGCGACACGTGTTCAGTAGCTGCACTTCAAGCCCCATACAACCATTCTGCTTTCCACTTTCAGTACCCTCCAGTAGATTCCATGAGAGAGTCAACACTGTATCACAAATAGGCTTTATCTAAGATGATTTTACTCAGCTGTGGGCTAATGTAAGCGTTCTGAGCACGTTTAAAGTGGGCCAGGCTACACTGTGATGTTTGGTAGGTTAGATGCATTCAATGCATTTTCAACTCACGATATTTCTAATTTACAGTTGTGAGGTAGCTAGGTAGCCCGTTGTAAATCATGGAGAATCTTTTTAAAACATTTTATTTTATTTTATTTTATTTTATTTTGAGATGGAGTCTCGCTCTGTTGCCCAGGCTGGAGTGCAGTGGCCGGATCTCAGCTCACTGCAAGCTCTGCCTCCCGGGTTTATGCCATTCTCCTGCCTCAGCCTCCCGAGTAGCTGGGACTACAGGCGCCCGCCACCTCACCCGGCTAGATTTTTGTATTTTTTAGTAGAGACGGGGTTTCACCGGGTTAGCCAGGATGGTCTCGATCTCCTGACCTCGTGATCCGCCCGCCTCGGCCTCCCAAAGTGCTGAGATTACAGGCTTGAGCCACCGCGCCTGGTCTAAAACATTTTATTTCTATTTTTGGAGGCAAGGTCTCCCTATGTTGCCCAGGCAGGTTGGACTTGAACTCCTGGGCTCAAGAGATCCTCCTGCCTCAGCCTCCCATGTAGCTGGGACTACTGGAGCAAACATCTGTTCCTGGCTGCAAATGACTGGAAATACAACCAGGGTCGGCTGGGTGCAGTGGCTCACGCCTGTAACCCCAGCCCTTTGGGATGCCAAGGTAGCAGATCTGACCTGAGGTCAGAAGTTCGAGACCAGCCTGGCCAACATGATGAAACCCCATCTCTACTAAAAATACAGTGGTGGTGGGCGCCTGTAATCCCAGCTACTCAGGAGGCTGAGGTGGAGAATCACTTGAATCTGGGAGGTGGAGGTTGCAGTGAGCCGAGATCCCGCCACTGCACTCCAGCCTGGGCAACAGAGCGAGACTCCATCTCAAAAAACAAAAACAAAAACCAGCACAGTCAGCTTGACTAGTGCTGTCCTCTGGGGCCACCTGCTCAAGGGCATTTTGTCCTTTGTTCCTCCCACTCTGGTCTCCCATACCCTAAAATCGCCCTCCCTTACCACCATCCCTCCTTCCCTGCTGGCCTCCTTCAGGCCAAGCTTCTTGAAGGTGTTCTTTGCACTCAGGCCTGGCCTGCACTCCTGACTAAGCCCCCATTGATGCCTTGTTCGTTCCTGCCCAGCTCACTGGGCCTGGCTTCTTCCCGGCCTCCTGTGACAAAATCCTCAGGTGACCGCTTGGCCGTCCTTATTCCATTTGGACATTCCTGCTTTCTAGAGCACTGCCTTGGCCTCCATGACCTCCCACCCCCCGAAGTTCTTGCCGCCTCCCTAACTGCCCTTCTCAGCCTACAGTGTGTGCTTTTCTTCCTCTGCACCCTCCCCCAGTATCCCTGGCCCTCAGAGTCCCCCACAACTTCACCTTCTACCATGGCACATGCTCTCCTGCAGCATCTGTCTCCCCCAATGTTGAAAACTCTCTTCTAAGCTTCAGTTTCTGCTGCCTATACCCTCCATGTTAACAGTCCCAGCTCCTGGGAGCAGGGACACATTGTCCTAGGACACGTGTCAAATGCCACAGGGGCCAGCTGGCTCACTGGTTGTCCCTGGCTCAGAAGCTCCCCCAATGCTGTCAGCTGTTGGTGGGGAGGGCGGGAGCAGATGGTGGGAAACGGGGCTGCCTGGGCGGCGGGCGGGCACCCCTGGGAGGGGCTGCTTGTGGTGCGGGCCCCCAGCCTCGGCCTGCCCCAACATATGCTGTTAGCAGCGTTTGTTTCCTCAAGTCCTTTGGAGGCAGAAACCTCAAGCGCATGGGGATCATATGCAGACAGGAATCCTCATCCTCATGCTGTGCTGCTTTCCCTGCTGGGCCGACTTCATCAATACCGAGCGCATCCTCCTGCTCTTAAAACAAGACCCCGAAGTCTCCAGGTGAGGTCCCCTGTTTCTCAATCCTAGGTTAAAAGTAAGTGGCTATGGGGTCATTGTACCTATGTGGACATTTTCGGCCAATTACATGGTCTTGAACCCTTTAAAAATTGAAAGCTAGCCAGGCGCGGTGGCTCACGCCTGTAATCCCAGCACTTTGGGAGGCTGAGGCGGGTGGATCATCTGAGGTCAGGAGTTCAAGACCAGCCTGGCTGACATGGTGAAACCCCGTCTCTACTAAAAATACAAAAAAATTAGCTGGGCGTGGTGGTAGGCGCCTGTAATCCCAGCTACTCGGGAGGCTGAGGCAGGAGAATTGCTTGAACCCGGGAGGCGGAGGTTGCAGTGAGCCAAGATCGCACCATTGCATTCCAGCCTGGGCGACAAGAGCAAAACTCCATCTCAAAAAAAAAAGGAAGCTGTGACTGTGGACCATAGGGTCTTGGGGCTGCAGGGACCACCTGACCCTGGGTGACAAGATACAGGACCAGGGTGTTATGTGCCTGGCCTGTCTCCCGTTCACCAAGTCCCTCCATTTTGCTGTGTGGCAAATGCATAGAATACTTTTCCCCTGAAGTAGAATAGCAGTGTAATCGCCTTCATGTATGACTTTAGATTTGGGTTTTTTCTTTAACCTGTCATTCCAGCGTATTCTCTGGTATTGTCCTTGGGGCACGTGGTCCTTTCTAGAAGACTGTCTCGCTCAGTGTTAGGTGGCCCTGACACTTTCAAATGGTTTCTGAATTTTGCCCAAGTTTTAGTTCCTTTTGCTGTGTTCACTCCACCTTTTATGCTAAGAATGAGCTGAAAAATGGAAAGTGGTCAGGCTTCCCCTTAGATAGCAGACGTTTAGTAGACTTAGTGTCATGTTGGTGTAGGTTGAAGAAAAACACTTAAAGTTATTAAGTTTCTCCCATTTTTAAGCTGGGTCCGGTGGCTCACATCTGTAATCCCAGCACTTTGGGAGGCCAAGGCAGGAGGATCGCTTGAGCCCAGAAGTTTGAGGTTACAGCGAGCTATGATGGCACCATTGTACTCCAGTCTGGGCATGAGAGTGAGACCTTGTCTCTAAAAATAATTTTTAATTTTAATTTTTAGAAAATACTCTTGTGGGTTCAGTTTGAAGACAGTATGACCAGCAACTGTTTTAATATTAACTGAAGACGATTTTGTTTGTTTCAGGATAGCCCAGATTTATGTGCTGATTTTCATTCCTGCCCTTCTTGTAAGTTTCAAGGCTGCTGTGTCTCATGACATGAAGCAGGTCACAGGTGTCGCCCTGCACATGCCCCTTCCCCCCACCCTCGTTTGTTTCTCCATCTTGGTGCAGTTCATGCCAAAAGCCCAACATGTATTTCTTGGCCCTATTCTCCCTCCCTTGCTGACTCTCAGGACATGTCCCACTCTGATGTCCAGTAGCTTAAATTAAAGTCAAAGATTGGGCCGGGTGCAGGGGCTCACGCCTGTAATCCCGGCACTTTGGGAGGCCGGGGCAGGTGGATCACGAGGTCAGGAGATGGAGACCATCCTGGCTAACATGGTGAAACCCTGTCTGTACTAAAAATACAAAAAAATTAGCCGGGTGGTGGCGGGTGCCTGTAGTCCCAGCTACTCGGGAGGCTGAGGCAGGAGAATGGCGTGAACCCAGGAGGCAGGGCTTGCAGTGAGCCGGGATTGCGCCACTGCACTCCAGCCTGGGTGACTGAGCAAGACTCCGTCTCAAAAAAAAAAAAAAAAAGACAAAGACAAAGATTGATGAGGGGAAGACATTTCCTTCCTGATTCCTTGTTCTACGGTTACTTCTGATTGCAAATCAACCAGAATGTTTCTGGGATCATCTAGGATTTGGGGGGTGCTGCATTCGAGCACCCTCGGAGCCCTTCAAAATGTCAAGACGGTGGCGTCTGCTTCAGCTAGTTAGAATTTGCCTGTGTCAGTTCTTCAGGGAGTACATCTTTTATCCACTCTGGAAAATTCCAAATAGTTAGTGCCCTAGCATTGTCTCATGTGAGTGAGGTTCTCTGAGATCACACATCAAGGGGAAGTGTCTTATTTAAGATTAAAAACCGGAACTAAACTAAACCATTGGAATTTATATTAATGAGAAGTGTATGTTGTTCTGTTTAAACTTACAGGCAGCATTCTTGTTCCAGCTGCAGACAAGATATTTACAAAGTCAGGTATAGATTCTTTTTATAATTTTTACTCCATAATCCTGGAAATGTCTAGTGAATATTCATAGGGAATGTTCTATAAAAGTAATTCACATTTTTCCCCCTTTAATTCTACCCTAGAGTTCTTTGCCTGAGAGATTGAGGCCTTGTAGGTGAATATTGTCTAGCCTGAGAGAGACGGCTGTATCAATCCGTCCCATTCCCCTTTAAATCACCACCACCCCCTTCTCTCTGCAGCCCCTGCCCGACCCCTCCCCTCTCTTGGGGCTGGTGCCAACTTTGCATCTGGCCTGGGGCCTGGCTCTTGTGCTTCTGCTTTAGAGAGGAGGGCCCGGGGTTCCTACAGCCACGAGGGAGCAGCGAAGGAGGAGTCTGCGGGCAAGGTTTGGGTGGACGGTGGAGAGAAGCAGGGCTCTGCCTCCCTGGGTCCCTTCTTGTCCATCTGAGGCCGCAGCCCTCTTGCCTTGCCCAGCTTGGGTAACAGTCTGCTCTCTGTTTCAATGCAGGTACGAAAAGAGGTTTTACTGAAAGAAAATGTTTGAATAGACAGCATAAACAAAACAAATGAGTGACTGGCACCTGCAACAACAGGGTAAGCCTGTTCCGCACACCTGCTATGAAGCAGGCTGCTGGGTGTCCTGTACGCGAGAACTTAAGCAACTTGGCCCAGATAATCTTCCAAGCTGCCTCTCCTCCACTTCACACCAGGGCCCATTTGCCCTTCAGGAGCTTTTCTCTCTCTGCTGCTGTTCTGGAAACTATGACCTACCAGGTCATTCAGAGGCATCTTCAAGCTTCTGGTTGGGATGGCTAGACGCTGCACCAACGGAGGAGACTAATCTGGTCATCTCAGTTCCTGACCATTCCAGTCCTGCGTAACTTTGCCATCATTTAAATTGTTCCCTGTTTAACTGTGAGTGTTCACTTGACAGGCTAGCTAATTAGCTTTCGAAAATGTGAATGTTTTCCTATTTGTTTTGGGGTTTTAGGGCATCATCATGCCTCAAGTTATTACCGGGATTGCAGCGAATGTCATCAACGTGGGCATGAATGCCCTCTTGCTGTATGCCCTGGACCCCAGAGTGGTGTAAGTCATGACCCCTTCATTCAACAGATACTGAGTGTCTGCTGTGTGCTGTCTCCTGGCCCTGGAGCCGGGGACAGCGAGAGTGAAATCATCTGGTAGAGGGAATATGGACAGGTGGACAGGCAATAGAGTTGGGTGTTCAGGTGGTCTGTGTGCCAGGTGAGAACTGGGTGCCACAGGACCCCACAGGAGGAGCAGCCGGCTCAGGCTGTTGGAAGGAAGGTCAGTGGGTTAGTGGGTGGAGAGATAGGGATGGTGCCTGGGAAGAAGCAATGTGTAAGCTGATTGTGTGTCGAGGTGGAGTTCACCTAGAGAGGGGAGTTGCTGTGGTCTGTGAAGGCTGAAAGGGGCCACCCTAGCAAAGACAGAGTGGGGCAGACACCTTAGGGATTCTCTCAGCATCTTGGAATTGTAAGAAACTGAGCCCAATTGCATCCTTATGAAGCTTGAGGAGATGAGGGTCCCAGAAAGAAAGCACTATCGATTCGCCTGTCCCTCACTGGGGGACACTTCTGTGCATGGAGCCAGAGCGAGGCTCCTCAGTGTGGCTAGAAAGTCTTTAAAGGCTGGCTGAGGACGGAACGTAAGAACACATCAGTGAAACACACCTTCTGCTAGAAAGCTGGATGAGGCGCTGGCCCGGGAAGCTGGAGTCCCACAGGGAGGTGTGAGCACCAGTTGGATGACTCATGTCCGGAAACAGGAGGTCTGGGCCGCCCAGGTTCTCCTGGGGGGTGGGCCTCAGAAACTGTCTTAGAGGTTTCCCCAACAGATGTACACAGGGAAGCTTGGGGATATAGAAAAGGAGAAGAAAATTTAGGAATAGATTAACAAAGGATAAAATGGAGGATTGTGTAGGGGAGTGGAATGGAAAAATAGACAGAAGGACAGAGTACCTGGCTCTCTATGCCAGAGTGGGGCATGGTTCTATTTGTTGTGATAAAATGTAACCTATGGAAGACGCTCCAAGGTTATTTTCCAATACAAAGCAAATGTATTATAATCCCAGGAAACAAAACTGCTATGTCCTAGACCAGTGTTTTGAACACAGTAATGTTTGATGTATCCCTTTTAACTAATTATGTTCAGGGACTTATCTGATGGGTTAAGACTCTCACAACATGGAATGGTGATACATCTTTATGTCCTTTTGTTTTTCCATCGAGGAACAACATTTGGTTCTTCCACAAAATTTAATCTTGGTGAAAAGAAAAAAGTCTATTATAAGTGGATTTGGGAAAATATTAAAAGTCCAGGAGTTCCAGCCTCATCTAATAACTGTGATTCTTACCTCAGAGCAAAAGCTTGTGGAAGGTGGCCTGTTTATTTTCATCTGGAAGGAATATACCTGCGGATAATGATGACTTTTCTTCGCAGAGGATCTGCCTGGGCCAACACCACTTCCAGTTCTCCCTGTCTGCTCTGCTTTTCCTGTATATGTGGTGGAAAAAAGTCTACGTCGACACCTGGGGAGGTAAGGGTGTGTCCGGAATTTATTCCTTCCGGTGGGTTCTCCGTCTCCCTGACTTCAAGAATGAAGCCACGGACCTTCGCGGTGAGTGTTACAGTTCTTAAAGATGGTGTGTCCAGAGTTTGTTCCTTCAGATGTTCAGATGTGTCCGGAGTTTCTTCGTTCTGATGGGTTCGTGGTCTCGCTGACTTCAAGAAAGAAGCCTGTGGCGAGTGTTACAGCTCTTAAAGGTGGCGTGGACCCAAAGAGTGAGCAACGGCAAGATTTATTGTGAAGAGCGAAAGAAGGAACCTTCCACACCATGGAAGGGGACCTGAGAGGGTTGCCCCTGCTGGCTGGGGTGGCCAGCTTTTATTCCCTTATTTGGCCCCGCCCACATCCTGCTGCTTTGTCCATTTTACAGAGTGCTGATTGGTCCATTTTACAGAGTGCTGATTGGTACATTTACATACTTTAAGCTAGACACAGAGTGCTGATTGGTGCATTTACAATCCTTTAGCTAGACACAGAGCACTGATTGGTACGTTTTTATAGAGTGCTGATTGGTGTGTTTATGATCCTTTAGCTAGACAGAAAAGTTCTCAAAGTTCCCACTTGACCCAGGAAGTCCAGCGGGCTTTACCTCTCAAGGGGACATTGATTTTTTACATTATGTGATTTGTTATTCAGAAAGATGTAATTCTGGTTTTTGGATGTTTTTCTCCCAGATTATTATTATTATCTTTTGGGAAATCTAAAAATTATAGAAAAAGTTTAAGTTACTGAAAACATAAAAATTACAGGGTCAATGTGAGATTTTTAAAAACGTCCATGAAAGCAGTTTTTGTTCATAGAAGACTATTTGTAGGTACTGGGTGTTAGGAATTAATGTTTAATGAATTAAAATGACAAATACAAAATCCAGGCGGGGCGCAGTAGCTCATGTCTGTAAAACCAGCACTTTGGGAGGCCGAGGTGGGCAGATCACCTGAGGTCAGTAGTTCGAGACCAGCCTGGCCAACATGGAGAAACCCCATCTCTACTAAAAATACAAAAATTAGCCTGTAATTCCAGCACTTTGGGAGGCCAAGATGGGTGGATCACGAGATCAGGAGATCGAGACCATCTTGGCTAATGTGGTGAAACCCCGTCTCTACTAAAAATACAAAAAATTAGCCAGTCATGGTGGCGGGCGCCTACTTGGGAGGCTGAGGCAGGTGAATGGCGTGACCTGGGAGGCAGAGCCTGCAGTGAGCCGAGATTGCGCCACTGCACTCCAGCCTGGGTGACAGAGCAAGACTCTGTCTCAACAAAAAAATAATAAAATAAAATACAACAATTAGCTGGACATGGTGGTACATGCCTGTAGTCCCAGCTACTCGGGAGGCTGAGGCAGGAGAATCGCTTGAACCTGGGAGGTGGAGACTGAGCTGAGATCACACCATCACACTCCAGCCTGGGCAACAGAGTGAGACTCCGTCTCAGAAAAAAGAAAAAAAAAGATAAATACAAAATATCCTACTTGTTCCTTGCAAATCATTCTGTTCTATTAGTGTCTTATCAATTCAAATAAGCAGACTGAACTCTTAAATAATCAGTACCACTGGCTGGGTGCAGTGGCTCATGCCTGTAATCCTAGCACTTTGGGAGGCTGAGGTGGGCGGATCACCTGAGGTCAGGAGTTCGAGACCAGCCTGACCAACATGGAGAAACCCGTCTCTGCTAAAAATACGAAATTAGCCGAGCGTGGTGGCAGCGCATGCCCGTAATCCTAGCTACTCGGGAGGCTGAGGTAGAAGAATCGCTTGAACCTGGGAGGTGGAGGTTGCAGTGAGCCAAGATCATGCCATTGCACTCCCTCCTGGGCAACAACAGAGAAACTCTGTCTCAAAAAAATACATAAATAAATAAAAAATTAGTACCACTTACAACTTAGCTAAATTCCTTTAAATATTTTATTTAAAATAAATATTTAAAGGAATTTAATAGATTAGGTTTGTTGTTGTTTTTCTATTTGTTCCAGCTTTATTTATATACAATTAAAACTTGTATATATTTAAAGTGTACAACATGATGGGTTTTTGTTTTTTTCTTGAGTCATTTAGCTTCTGACAACATGTTGTTTTGATATGTGTGTACATTCTGAAATGATTACCACTATTAAGCTAATTAACATATACATCACCTTGCATAGTTCCCCCCCCTTTTTTTTTTGAGATGGAGTCTTGCACTCTTGCCCAGGCTGGAGTTAAATGGCGCGATCTCGGCTCACTGCAACTTCCGCCATGTGGGTTCAAGGAATTCTCCTGCCTCAGCCTCCCGAGTGGCTGGGATTACAGGTGCCCACCATCACGCCCGGCTAATTTTTTGTAGTTTTAGTAGAGACGGGGTTTCATTATGTTGGCCAGGCAGGTCTTGAACTCCTGACCTCATGATCCGCCCGCCTCGGCCTCCCAAAGTGCTGGGATTACAGGTGTGAGCTACTGCACCCGGCCTAGTTCCCCTTTCGCACATGGTAAGAATACTTAAGATCTACTCCCTGAGCAAATTTCAAGTATCCAATACATTATCATTAATTGTGCTCACCGTGTTGTACATTAGTTCCCCAGAACTTATTCATCTTATAGCTGAAAGTTCGTACCCTTTGATTGACATGTCCGCATTTCTCCCACCCCCTAAGATAAGTGAGATCATACAGTATTTGTGTTTCTGAGCCTGCCTTATTTCACTTAGCATGATGGCTTCCAGGTTCTTCCATGTTGTTGCAAATGACAGGATTTCATTACTTTTTATGGCTGGATAATATTCCATTTTCTGCGTGCATGCGTGCGTGCACCACATTCTCTTTATTCCACTGGCCATGGACACTCAGGTCATTTCCTTATCTTGGCTAATGTGAATAATGCTGCAATGAACACGGGAGTGCAGCTCTCTCTTTGAGAAAGTAATTTCCTTTTGATATATGCCCAGAAGGACTACTGGATCATATGATTGTTATATTTTTACATTTTTGAGGAACCGCCATACTTTTTTCTATACTGGCTATACCAATTTACACCACTACCAAAATTTTACAAAAGTCCTCTTTTCTTCATACGTTTGTCAACACCTTCTTTTTGGTAATGGCTGTGCTAAGAGGTGATAGATGTCTCAGTGTGGTTTGGATTTCTATTTCTCTGATAATTTGTAATGTTGAACACCTTTTCATATACCTGTTGGTCACTCGTATATCTTTTTTTTTTTTTGAGACAGAGTCTTGCTCCATTACCAGGTTGGAGTGCAGGCACAATCTTGGCTTACTACAACCTCTGCCTCCTGGGTTCAAGCGATTCTCCTGCCTCAGCCTCCCGAGTAGCTGGGATTACAGGCACGCACCACCACACCCGGTTGTATTTTTACTAGAGACGGGGTTTCACCATGTTGGCCAGGATGGTCTCGATCTCTTGACCTCGTGATCCGCCCGTCTCGGCCCCCCAAAGTGCTGGGATTACAGGCGTGAGCCACCGTGCCCGGCCTTTTTCCTTTAAGAGATGAGGTCTCAACTATGTCGCCTAGGCTGAGTGCAGTGGTGCAATCATAGCTCATTGCTGCCTTGACCTCCTGAGCTCAAGGGATCCTCCTGCTTCAGCTTCCCGAGTAGCTGGGACTACAGGCGTGCACCATGGCACCTGGCCCTGTATGTCTTCTTTTGATAAATGACTATTTAAAGCCTTTGTACATGGGTGTTTTTTTTTTTTTTTTTTTTTGCTATTGAGTTGTATGAGTTCCTTATTTATTTTGGATATCAGCACATTATTGGATAAATGTTTTGCACATATCTTCTTCCATTCTATACTTTACCTTTTAATTTTATTGACTATTTCCTTTGCTCTGCAGAAACGCTTTAGTTTTATGTAGTCCCACTTGTTATTTCTGTCTTTGTTGCCTATGCATTTGGTGTCATAGAAAAAAAGCATTGCCAAGACTGACGTCATGGAGCTTTTCCCCTGTTTTCTCTGGGAGTTTTATGGTTTCTGGTCATGTTTAAGTCTTTAATCCATTTTGAGTTGATTTTTGTGTATGATGTAAGATAAGAGTCCAATTTCTTTTCTTAATTTTTTTTCCAGCATGTGAATTTCTAGTTTTCTAACACCATCTGTTGAAGAGACTACTCCTCCCCAATTGTGTATTCTTGGAGCATTTGGTGATGATTCGTTGACTACGTATGTCTGGGTTTATTTCTGGGCTCTCTATTCTGTTCCCTTGGTCTGTGTGCCTTCCATTGCTAGTACCATACTGTTTTTTGTTTTAAGAGATGGAGTCTCACTCTGTCACACAGGCTGGAGTATAGTGGTGCCATCATAGCTCATTGCAGCCTTGAACTCCTCAGCTCAAGCGATCCTCCTTCCTCAACCTTCTAAGTAGCTGGGACTACAGGTGTGTACCACCATGCCTGGGTAATTTTTAAAAAATTTTTTGTAGAGATAGGATCTTGCTGTGTTGCCCAGGCTGGTCTCAAACTCCTGAGCTCAAGTGATCCTTCTGCCTCAGCCTCCCAAAATGTTGGGATTATAGGCATGAGCCACCACACCCAGCCACCATGCTGTTTTCATTATGATTATGATATAATTTGAAATCAGAATGTGTGATGCTTCCAGCTTTTTCAATATTGCTTTGGCTAGTCGAGATCTTTTGTGGTTCTATGCTAATTTTTAGAATTGTTTTTCTATTCGGTAAAAAAAGTCTCTTGGAATTTTGATAAACATTGCATTGAATCTGTAGATCACTTTGGTAGTGTGAACATTTTGACAGTGTTGATTCTTTTGATTCATAAACGTGGGATATCTTTTCATTCATTTGTGTCTTCAATTTTTTTCATCAATGCTTTGTAGTTTTAAATATAAAGATCTCTCACCTGCTTGGTTACATTTTTTTCTAAGTATTTTATTCTTTTTGATTTAATTGTAAATGGATTTTTTTTTTTTTTTCTTTTGGGACAGGGTCTCAATGTGTCGCCCAGGCTGGAGTGCAGTGGTGCTGGAGTG